AACGGGGCTGATGGAGGGAGCTGCTCTGGGATAACGGGGCTGATGGAGGGATCTGCTTGGGATAACGGGGCTGATGGAGGGAGCTGCTCCGGGATAACGGGGCTGATGGAGGGAGCTGCTCTGGGATAATGGGGCTGGTGGAGGGAGCTGCTCTGTGTACCTACAGCTGGGGTGTCTCTGTACCTACAGCTGGGTGTCCCTGTACCCATAGTGCCCATGACCACAGCCGAGGTGTTCCTATACCCACAGAGAGGCTATCCCCATGCCCACAACTGAGATATCTCTATACCCACAACTGAGATGTCCCTATACCCACAACTGAGCTGTCCCTATACCTATAACTGAGATGTCCCTATACCCACAACTGAGGTGTCCCTATACCCATAACTGAGCTGTCCCTATACCTATAACTGAGATGTCCCTATACCCACAACTGAGGTGTCCCTATACCCACAACTGAGATGTCCCTATACCCATAACTGAGATGTCCCTGTACCCATAACTGAGATGTCCCTATACCCATAACTGAGATGTCCCTATACCCACAACTGAGATGTCCCTATACCCACAACTGAGATGTCCCTATACCCATAACTGAGATGTCCCTGTACCCATAACTGAGATGTCCCTATACCCACAACTGAGATGTCCCTATACCCAGAACTGAGATGTCCCTATACCCATAACTGAGATGTCCCTATACCCACAACTGAGATGTCCCTATACCCACAACTGAGATGTCCCTACACCCATAACTGAGATGTCCCTGTACCCACAACTGAGATGTCCCTACACCCATAACTGAGATGTCCCTATACCCACAACTGAGATGTCCCTATACCCACAACTGAGATGTCCCTATACCCATAACTGAGATGTCCCTATACCCACAACTGAGATGTGCCACTATACCCATAACTGAGATGTCCCTATACCCACAGACTGAGATGTCCCTATACCTATAGACTGAGATGTCCCTATACCCATAACTGAGATGTCCCTATACCCACAACTGAGATGTCCCTATACCCATAACTGAGATGTCCCTACACCCATAACTGAGATGTCCCTATACCCACAACTGAGATGTCCCTATACCCGTAACTGAGATGTCCCCATACCCGTAACTGAGCTGTCCCTATACCCACAACTGAGATGTCCCTATACCCACAACTGAGATGTCCCTATACCCACAACTGAGATGTCCCTATACCCGTAACTGAGATGTCCCTATACCCGTAACTGAGATGTCCCTATACCCGTAACTGAGATGTCCCTATACCCATAACTGAGATGTCCCTATACCCACAACTGAGATGTCCCTATACCCACAACTGAGATGTCCCTATACCCATAACTGAGATGTCCCTATACCCACAACTGAGATGTCCCTATACCCACAACTGAGACATGTCCCTATACCCACAAGCTGAGACTGTCCCTATACCCACAACTGAGATGTCCCTATACCCGTAACTGAGATGTCCCTATACCCGTAACTGAGATGTCCCTATACCCACAACTGAGATGTCCCTATACCCGTAACTAGAGATGTCCCTATACCCGTAACTGAGATGTCCCTATACCCACAACTGAGATGTCCCTATACCCGTAACTGAGATGTCCCTATACCCACAACTGAGATGTCCCTATACCCGTAACTTGAGATGTCCCTATACCCACAACTGAGATGTCCCTATACCCGTAACTGAGATGTCCCTATACCCACAACTGAGATGTCCCTATACCCGGAACTGAGATGTCCCTATACCCGTAACTGAGATGTCCCCCTATACCCGTAACTGAGATGTCCCTATACCCATAACTGAGATGTCCCTATACCCACAACTGAGATGTCTCTATACCCGTAACTGAGATGTCCCTATACCCACAAGGGCTCGGGGATGTGTCCCTATACCCGTAACTGAGATGTCCCTATACCCGTAACTGAGATGTCCGCCTATACCCGTAACTGAGATGTCCCTATACCCACAACTGAGATGTCCCTATACCCGTAACTGAGATGTCCCTATACCCGTAACTGAGATGTCCCTATACCCATAACTGAGATGTCCCTATACCCACAACTGAGATGTCCCTATACCCACAACTGAGATGTCCCTATACCCATAACTGAGATGTCCCTATACCCACAACTGAGATGTCCCTATACCCACAACTGAGATGTCCCTATACCCACAACTGAGATGTCCCTATACCCACAACTGAGATGTCCCTATACCCGTAACTGAGATGTCCCTATACCCGTAACTGAGATGTCCCTATACCCACAACTGAGATGTCCCTATACCCGTAACTGAGATGTCCCTATACCCGTAACTGAGATGTCCCTATACCCACAACTGAGATGTCCCTATACCCGTAACTGAGATGTCCCTATACCCACAACTGAGATGTCCCTATACCCGTAACTGAGATGTCCCTATACCCACAACTGAGATGTCCCTATACCCGTAACTGAGATTTCCCTATACCCACAACTGAGATGTCCCTATACCCACAACTGAGATGTCCCTATACCCACAACTGAGATGTCCCTATACCCGTAACTGAGATGTCCCTATACCCACAACTGAGAGTGTCCCTATACCCATAACTGAGATGTCCCTATACCCGTAACTGAGATGTCCCTATACCCACAACTGAGATGTCCCTATACCCACAGAGACTGAGATGTCCCTATACCCATAACTGAGATGTCCCTATACCCGTAACTGAGATGTCCCTATACCCACAACTGAGATGTCCCTATACCCACAACTGAGATGTCCCTATACCCATAACTGAGATGTCCCTATACCCACAACTGAGATGTCCCTATACCCACAACTGGGGATCTGTCCCCTATACCCACAACTGAGATGTCCCTATACCCACAACTGAGATGTCCCTATACCCGTAACTGAGATGTCCCTATACCCGTAACTGAGAGTGTCCCTATACCCACAACTGAGATGTCCCTATACCCGTAACTGAGATGTGCCCTATACCCGTAACTGAGATGTCCCTATACCCACAACTGAGATGTCCCTATACCCGTAACTGAGATGTCCCTATACCCACAACTGAGATGTCCCTATACCCGTAACTGAGATGTCCCTATACCCACAACTGAGATGTCCCTATACCCGTAACTGAGATGTCCCTATACCCACAACTGAGATGTCCCTATACCCGTAACTGAGATGTCCCTATACCCGTAACTGAGATGTCCCTATACCCGTAACTGAGAACTGTCCCTATACCCATAACTGAGATGTCCCTATACCCACAACTGAGATGTCCCTATACCCACAACTGAGATGTCCCTATACCCGTAACTGAGATGTCCCTATACCCGTAACTGAGATGTCCCTATACCCACAACTGAGATGTCCCTATACCCGTAACTGAGATGTCCCTATACCCGTAACTGAGATGTCCCTATACCCACAACTGAGATGTCCCTATACCCGTAACTGAGATGTCCCTATACCCACAACTGAGATGTCCCTATACCCGTAACTGAGATGTCCCTATACCCACAACTGAGATGTCCCTATACCCGTAACTGAGATGTCCCTATACCCACAACTGAGATGTCCCTATACCCACAACTGAGATGTCCCTATACCCACAACTGAGATGTCCCTATACCCGTAACTGAGATGTCCCTATACCCACAACTGAGATGTCCCTATACCCATAACTGAGATGTCCCTATACCCGTAACTGAGATGTCCCTATACCCACAACTGAGATGTCCCTATACCCACAACTGAGATGTCCCTATACCCATAACTGAGATGTCCCTATACCCACAACTGAGATGTCCCTATACCCACAACTGAGATGTCCCTATACCCACAACTGAGATGTCCCTATACCCACAACTGAGATGTCCCTATACCCGTAACTGAGATGTCCCTATACCCGTAACTGAGATGTCCCTATACCCACAACTGAGATGTCCCTATACCCGTAACTGAGATGTCCCTATACCCGTAAACTGAGATGTCCCTATACCCACAACTGAGATGTCCCTATACCCGTAACTGAGATGTCCCTATACCCACAACTGAGATGTCCCTATACCCGTAACTGAGATGTCCCTATACCCACAACTGAGATGTCCCTATACCCGTAACTGGGATGTGTCCCCTATACCCACAACTGAGATGTCCCTATACCCGTAACTGAGATGTCCCTATACCCGTAACTGAGATGTCCCTATACCCGTAACTGAGATGTCCCTATACCCATAACTGAGATGTCCCTATACCCACAACTGAGATGTCTCTATACCCGTAACTGAGATGTCCCTATACCCACAACTGAGATGTCCCTATACCCGTAACTGAGATGTCCCTATACCCGTAACTGAGATGTCCCTATACCCGTAACTGAGATGTCCCTATACCCACAACTGAGATGTCCCTATACCCGTAACTGAGATGTCCCTATACCCGTAACTGCAGATGTCCCTATCCATAACTCGAGATGTCCCTATACCCACAACTGAGATGTCCCTATACCCACAACTGAGAATGTCCCTATACCCATAACTGAGATGTCCCTATACCCACAACTGAGATGTCCCTATACCCATAACTGAGATGTCCCTATACCCATAACTGAGATGTCCCTATACCCATAACTGAGATGTCCCTATACCCATAACTGAGATGTCCCTATACCCACAACTGAGATGTCCCTATACCCATAACTGAGATGTCCCTATACCCACAACTGAGATGTCCCTATACCCATAACTGAGATGTCCCTATACCCATAACTGAGATGTCCCTATACCCACAACTGAGATGTCCCTATACCCACAACTGAGATGTCCCTATACCCATAACTGAGATGTCCCTATACCCACAACTGAGATGTCCCTATACCCATAACTGAGATGTCCCCATTCCCAACCTGAGGCATCCCCGTGCTCCCATTGGGGTCTCCCCACCCCAGTGTGCTGATTCCCCGTGTCCCCGCAGGAGACTCTTGGGGGGTCCTCACGTTCCTTTGTGCCGCGCTCTGCCACCTGCCCGCGCTGCCGGCGCTGAACTGCACCGAGGAGCTGGGCCCCGGCCACTCCATCCAGCAGACCTACGACCTGACCCGCTACCTGGAGCACCAGCTCCGCTCCCTGGCCGGCACCTACGTGAGTTGGGGCACCTGAACCCTACAGCAACAATGGGAACAGGGGGGGGGGTCCTCTTCATCATCCCTGTGCGCATCGCATCGCATTGCATCCCACCCGGAGCTGATGCACGCAGCGTGTGTGTGTGTGCCACTGTAATGGGGATGGGATGGGATGGGATGGGATGGGGATGGGATGGGATGGGATGGGATGGGATGGGATGGGATGGGATGGGATGGGATGGGGATGGGATGGGTGGGATGGGATGGGATGGGATGGGATGGGATGGGATGGGATGGGATGGGTGGGATGGGATGGGATGGGGATGGGATGGGATGGGATGGGATGGGATGGGATGGGATGGGATGGGATGGGATGGGATGGGATGGGATGGGATGGAGGGACAAACATCATGGGGTTGCACAAGGTGGAGCCCCCCCCATAGGAAAGGGGATGGAGTGGCTGCCCCATTGCCAGCAGCCAGGGATGCCCCTACCTGCATGTAAAGGAGGGTGTGCAGGTGGGTGCATGCGTGTGGTGTGCACTGGGGGGATGCATGCACGTGTGCCTGCACATACATGTACATCAGAGTGCCTGCATCCCTGTACCCCCATCCCTGTGCCCACACACACGTGTCCATCACTGCCCCCATCCCTGTACCCACACACACGTGTCCATCAGTGCCCCATCCCTGTACCCACACACACGTGTCCATCAGTGCCCCATCCCTGTACCCACACACACGTGTCCATCAGTGCCCCATCCCTGTACCCACACACACGTGTCCATCAGTGCCCCATCCCTGTACCCACACACACGTGTCCATCAGTGCCCCATCCCTGTACCCACACACACGTGTCCATCAGTGCCCCATCCCTGTACCCACACACACGTGTCCATCAGTGCCCCATCCCTGTACCCACACACACGTGTCCATCAGTGCCCCATCCCTGTACCCACACACACGTGTCCATCAGTGCCCCATCCCTGTACCCACACACACGTGTCCATCAGTGCCCCATCCCTGTACCCACACACACGTGTCCATCAGTGCCCCATCCCTGTACCCACACACACGTGTCCATCAGTGCCCCATCCCTGTACCCACACACACGTGTCCATCAGTGCCCCATCCCTGTACCCACACACACGTGTCCATCAGTGCCCCATCCCTGTACCCACACACACGTGTCCATCAGTGCCCCATCCCTGTACCCACACACACGTGTCCATCAGTGCCCCATCCCTGTACCCACACACACGTGTCCATCAGTGCCCCATCCCTGTACCCACACACACGTGTCCATCAGTGCCCCATCCCTGTACCCACACACACGTGTCCATCAGTGCCCCATCCCTGTACCCACACACACGTGTCCATCAGTGCCCCATCCCTGTACCCACACACACGTGTCCATCAGTGCCCCATCCCTGTACCCACACACACGTGTCCATCAGTGCCCCATCCCTGTACCCACACACACGTGTCCATCAGTGCCCCATCCCTGTACCCACACACACGTGTCCATCAGTGCCCCATCCCTGTACCCACACACACGTGTCCATCAGTGCCCATCCCTGTACCCACACACGTGTCCATCGTGCCCCATCCCTGTACCCACACACACGTGTCCATCAGTGCCCCATCCCTGTACCCACACACACGTGTCCATCAGTGCCCCATCCCTGTACCCACACACACGTGTCCATCAGTGCCCCATCCCTGTACCCACACACACGTGTCCATCCCTGTGCCCCATCCCTGTACCCACACACACGTGTCCATCAGTGCCCCATCCCTGTACCCACACACACGTGTCCATCACACGGGAGGTGCCCTCAGCCGGGCCCGTTTCTCCCCCCCCCCCCCCCCCGCAGGTCCCTGTTTGCTCTCCCGTGCCCCTGCCCGACGGCACCGCCCTGCCCCTGGGCTCTGCGGCTCCCATGGGTGCAGCCGTGCCCCAGGGCAGGAAATGGCTCAGGAGCACTGGGTGTGGGCAGGGAACAGAGCGGGTGCAGGCAGGGAGCAGGGTGTAGGGAGGGGGTACAGGATGGGTGCAGGCAGGGAGCAGGGTGCAGGCAGGGGGACAGGATGGGTGCAGGGGGCAGCCTGGGTGCAGGGTTTAGGCACGGTGCAGGGTGCAGGCAGGGTGCAGGGTGCGGGCAGGGTGCAGGGTACAGGACACAGTCATGGTGCAGGGTGCAGGATACAGTCAGGTTGCAGGGTCCAGGCAGGGTACAGGCAGGGTCCAGGCAGGGTCCAGGCAGGGTCCAGGCAGGGTACAGGGAGGGTGCAGGTTACAGGATACAGTCAGGGTGTAGGCAGGGTGCAGAGTACAGGCAGGGTACAGGGTACAGGCTACAGTCATGGTGCAGGGGACAGGATGGGTGCAGGGTGCAGACAGGGTGCAGGGTACAGGATACAGTTAGAGTGCAGGGTGCAGGCAGGGTGCAGACAGGGTGCAGGGTATGGGATACAGGCAGGGTGCAGGCAGGGTGCAGGGTGCCGGTATCTGCCATCCCTTCCCACTGGCTCCTCCATCCCTGCCCTGCCGTGCCCTTGGGGTGCTGGCAGTGACGAGGGTGGCTCCACCTTGGGGTTGGGGTTAGGGTCAACCCCCCCATGAGTGCCTCTGGGTGGGCACGGGCAGGGGTGGGATGGGGATAGGGATGGGGATGGGGCCAGAGAGGCAGGGCCATGGAGGCAGGGAGATGGCACCTTCCCCTCTGGGGACAGGGAGCCTGGTAGGGACATGCGATGGGCAAGGAGGGACATGGGGACCTGGGACAGGGTTGTCAGGGGGACCCGGAGACATGGGAGGAGGGGGCTGTATCCAGACTGTGGGATGTGGGGACCTGGAACATGGGGGGCACTTGCACCTGGGGACATGGAGAGGAGGACACAGACTGGGACCAAGGTGGGCAGAAGGATGTGGGGACCTGTGACAAGTAGGACATGGGGATGGGGACACGGTGGGCAGTGGGGAATGAAGACCTGCAAAGAGGGGGCCATGACCAAACGGGGGACATAGAAGCCTGGGACATGGTGGGTATGTGGGGGACAGGGGGACATAGAGACCTGTGATGGGGGGACATGGAGACGGGGGATGTGGGCAGGTGGACATGGGTACCAGAATGAGGGGGACATGGATACAGAGGGTTTGGACAGGGGGACATGGGTACCTGGATGAGGGGGACATGGATACGGGGATGTGCACAGGGGGATGTGGGTACCTGGATGAGAAGGATGTGGGTACCTGGATGAGAAGGATGTGGGTACCTGGATGAGCAGGGGGGCATGGGTACCTGGATGAGAAGGATGTGGGTACCTAGATAAGAAAGATGTGGGTACCTGGATGAGAAGGATGTGGGTACCTGGATGAGGGGGACATGGACACAGGGGATGTGCACAGGGGGACATAGGTACCTGAATGAGAAGGATGTGGGTACCTGGATGAGAAGGATGTGGGTACCTGGATGAGGAGGACATGGATACAGGGGATTTGGACAGGGGGACATGGGTATGTGGATGAGAAGAATGTGGGTACCTGGATGAGGAGGATGTGGGCACCTGGATGAGGGGGACATGGATACAGGGGATTTGGATAGGGGGACATGGGGATGTGCACAGGGGGACATGGGTACCTGGATGAGGGCGACATGGGTACCAGGATGAGGAGGACATGGACACAGGGGATGTGCACAGGGGGACATGGTTATGTGGATGAGGGGGAGGTGGGTACCTGGATGAGAAGGATGTGGGTACCTGGATGAGGGGGACATGGACACAGGGGATGTGCACAGGGGGACATGGGTACCTGGATAAGAAGGATGTGGGTACCAGGATGAGGAGGACATAGACACAGGGGATGTGCACAGGGGGACATGGGTACCTGGATGATCAGGACGTGGGTACGAGGATGAGGGGGACACTGCCAGAGGTTGCAGGAGGGCCACAGCAACCCCATACGAGCAGAACACAACCACAGCCACCTCACTGTTGCCCCCCATCACCCCCATCCCCCCCCTTTCCCATCCCTTCCAGCTGAACTACCTGGGCCCCCCTTTCAATGAGCCTGACTTCAACCCCCCGCGCCTGGCCCGGGCCGAGCGGGTGCCCAGCGCCACGGTGGACCTGGAGCTGTGGCGGGGCCTGACCGACAACGCCCGCTTGGCCGCCAACTACCGGGCCTACAGCCGGGTGCTGTGCTCGCTGCGGGCGCTGGACGCGCAGGGCACGGCCGAGCTGCGCCATCGCCTGGGCCACTTCTGCTCCAGCCTGCAGGGCTTGGTGCTGAGCATCGCGGGGGTCATGTCCTCCCTCGGGTACCCGCTGCCCGCCGGCCCCCCGGCATCGCCCCACGGGACCCCGGTGCAAGGCGGGGGGGGGCCCCCCAATGACTTCCTGAAGAAGATGGATGATTTCTGGCTGCTCAAGGAGCTGCAGACCTGGCTGTGGCGCTCGGCCAAGGACTTCAACCGGCTCAAGAAGAAGGTGCCGCCGGCAGTGGTGACGCTGAGGATGGAGGCGAGGGGGTTCTGAGCTCGCCGCGGCGCTGGGGTGGGGATAGGGCTCCAAAGCGCAGTGGGAACCTCGCTGTGGGTTAGGGGGGGGCACTCAAAGCGGTGCCAATGGCACCCCAGTTCTGTTGCCATCACCAGAGAGGGTGCCACTGCTGGCATCCCCATGGCCCCTGTGTCACCACGTTGTGCCTTGTGGGGTGGGGTCCTGAAGCTAAAGTGTCACCAAAGTCACCCCAAAGCACCCCTCCATCATCGCTGTGCCTTGTGGGATGGGGCTCCGACCCCAAAGCACCACCAGCATCATCACCAAAGCACCTCTCCATCACCACTGTGCCTTGTGGGATAGGGCTCCAACCCCAAAGTGCCACCACCACCATCACCACTGTGCCTTCAGAGATGGGGCTCTGACCCCAAAGTGCCACCAGCACCATCACCACTGTGCCTTGTGGGAGGGGGTCCTGAACCTAAAGTGCCACCAAAGTCACCCCAAAGCACCCCTCCATCACCACTGTGCCTTGTGGGATGGGGCTCCGACCCCAAAGCACCACCAGCATCATCACCAAAGCACCTCTCCATCACCACTGTGCCTTCAGAGATGGGGCTCCAACCCCAAAGCACCACCAACACCATCACCACTCTGCCCTGTGGGATGGGGCTCCGACCCCAAAGCACCACCAGCATCATCACCAAAGCACCTCTCCATCACCACTGTGCCTTCAGAGATGGGGCTCCGACACCAAAGTGCCACCAGCACCATCACTACTGTGCCCTGTGGGATGGGGCTCCGACCCCAAAGTGCCACCAGCACCATCACCACTGTGCCCTGTGGGATGGGGCTCTGCCCCCAAAGCGCCACCAAAGCCATTCCACAACCCCACCACCACAACAGTGCCTTAAGGGATGGGTCTTTTGACCCCAAAGCGCCACCAAAGCCACCCCATAACCCCACCATCATCACAAGTGCCTTAAGGGATGGGTCTCCTGACCCCAAAGTGCCGCTGCAGACACCCCACAGCCCCTCTGTCACCACATCGTGCCTAAAGAGATGGGTCTCCTGACCCCAAAGTGCCACCACAGGCACCCCACAGCCCCATTGGAACCCACCACGTCGTCCCCACCACCACACTGCGCCCAGCCCCTCATCCCTGCCCCATATCAATGGGGCTGACCAGGGCAGCAGCCTCCCCGCTCCCCACCCCGCAGCAGCAATAAGCCCCACCCCCAAGTGCTATAGGGTGCGTGCAAGCCCCGCCCACCCAAAACGGACCAATCCCCTTCGAGCATCGGTATAAACCCCGCCCCCTACAATAGGCTCCGCCTCCCTGCTACCCAAGCCCTGCCTTTCCCATGGTTGCTTAGCGACCAACAGAGGGAGCGCGGGGGAGAGGCGTGGCTTGGGGGGGTGCGGCGGTGGGCGTGGCTTACGCGGGGGGGCGTGGCCTGTGTCCCGGTGCGTCTGTGCGTGTTTATTTATTGGAGATGTTATTTATTGGGGTATTTATTGCAGAAGATCTATTCTTGTATGAACGAATTAAAGCCTTTCTCCAGCAGCCGCCCCGGGCCGTGGGTAGGGACCAGGGTGAAGGGGCAGCTCCCATGGCTGCGGGATGGGGACCCCGTGGTACCCCGAGATGGGGATGGGATGCTTGGGATGCTGCAGCATGGGGGGTGATTGGGGACCCCCATTGCCCCCCTGTCCCCCTGCACTCATAGGGTGCAGAGGACAGGACCTGCAGGACTGGGTTTGGGGGGGGGTGACTGTGTCCATCAGAGTGGGGGTCAGGCTGTGATGTGGGGACCCCATCACTGGCAGGGCAGCAATGGGGGGACAGGGGCCCTCAGTTACCCCATCACTGGCAGGGCAGGGGTGAAGGGGACAGGGGGTGCACAGGGTTCCCATCACCAGTAGGGAAAAGCTGGGGGGGAACTGGGAGGGTCCTCATCACTGGTAGGGCAGGAATAGGACAGGGGGGTCCCCATCAGCAGCAGGGCAGGGATGGGGGGACAGGGATGTCCCCATCACCAGCAGAGTGGGGGGGGCAGGCTCCTGGGCACATCAGGATGAGCAAGGTTCCTCAGTGACATCAAGGCTCCATGGGGCAGGAGATGGTCCCGGCGCTATGGGGCTATGGGGTGCTGATGGCTGCGTGTATTTCCCATAAGGACAGCGCTGGCCCCATGCCCAGTGCCCCATGGGATGGACCCTGCCCGGTGCCCCCCCTTATGGAGCCACCCCCTGGGCAAGGGGCACTCGCTGGCCCGTGGCGACTGGTGGAGGACCAGGGACCTGCTGGTGCCACCGTGTGCCCCATAGAGCCTGGGACCTGCTGGTGCCACCGTGTGCCCCATAGAGCCTGGGACCTGCTGGTGCCACCGTGTGCCCCATAGAGCCTGGGACCTGCTGGTGCCACCGTGTGCCCCATAGAGCCTGGGACCTGCTGGTGCCACCCTGTGCCCCACAGTCACTGACACCCACCCCAAGGCCCATTGGGACCCACGGCCACAGGACCGCTTGTGGGGTGAGTGATAAAGGGATGGGGACAGGGATGGGGATGGGGACAGGGTCCAGCCGTGGGCTCCTGTCCCTATTGTTACTGTAGGGTCTCTGAGCAGGACGATGCTGATCCTGACGTGCCCGGCTCAGCTGCAGCGCTTGGAGGGAGCCCTGCGGAGGAGCCTGCCCCTTACCCTGCCGGTGATGGGGGGGACCCCCCTCTGTCACCCCTGCCCTGGGCCGTGGTGGGGACCCCAGTGTCTCCCCTGCGCTGTCCAATCACTTGGGACCCCCATGTCCCTGCCCCTTTGCCAAAGCAGGGACCCCCATGTCCTGCCCCCAATGATGGGGACCCCCCTATCCCCTCTCTTGCTGCCCCCCCACCATGAGGGTCCCAAGTCCAGGGCAGGCGGCTCCTGGGCATTACCCAACTGACCAATCCCAGCCCAGCTTGATTCCAAGCTAGCCAATCCCCTTTGACACCCACACAAGCCAACCAATCCTCTCCCAGCCTCCCATACAAGCCCGCGAATCCCAGCCGAGACAGTGTGAAAGCAGCCAATCCCAAGCTTCCACGCCCACTTCCCACAGCCCCACCCACTTATGGGGCTCTGCCCTCTTTGCCTTCACCCCACACATCCCTATGGGACCCGGGGGGCTGTGGGGTGCACCCATCACCCAGGACCCCACATTTGCCCCCCTGCACCCCACAACCCATCTCAGCCCCCTTCACCCCCAGCTCTATGGGGCCATGGTGGACACCAGAGGGATTCACCCCACACATCCCTATGGGGCCAGGGCGGGCTGTGGGGTGCACCCATTGCTTGGGAACCCCCACATCTACCTCCTGCCCCCCATATCCCACCTCTGCCCCCCATATCCCACCTCTGCAGGTCTATGGGGCCGTGATGAACATCAACCGGGGCAACCCAGCGGGGCTGGAGGTGGTGGTGGATGCATGGCCCGAGTTCGGTGCCGTGCTGGCGCGGCGCAGAGGAGAGGTGCCCATGGGGACCCCCTCATGGGTGCTTGTGGGGTGGCCCCATAGAGGGCACCGATGGGCTCAGGGCACCCATGGGTGCCCCGCAGGTGCCTCTGGATGACTGCTATAGGAACACGAGCGCGGTGTTCTACCGGGACGTGGGTGCTTACCGGGCACTGCTGGAGACCCCGGGGTGCCTGCGCTGGGATGCGGCGTTCCACATCATCGGTGGTGCTGGGATGGGGGTCCTGGGGGTAACGGGAAGGGATTGGGGGTGCTGGGGGATGTGCGGCTGGAATTGGGGTGCTGGGGGAGGTGGGGGAATGGGGTGCTGGGGATGGGGGTGGGAATTGGGGTGCTGGGGGATGTGGGGCTGGAATTGGGGTGCTGGGAGGTGGTGGGGTGGAATTGGGGTGCTGGGGGATGTGGGGCTGGAATTGGGGTGCTGGGAGATGGGGGGTGGGAATTGGGGTGCTGGGGGATGTGGGGCTGGAATTGGGGTGCTGGGAGATGGTGGGGTGGGAATTGGGGTGCTGGGGGATGTGGGGCTGGAATTGGGGTGCTGGGAGGTGGTGGGGTGGGAATTGGGGTGCTAGGGGATGTGGGGCTGGAATTGGGGTGCTGGGAGATGGGGGGTGGGAATTGGGGTGCTGGGAGGTGGTGGGGCAGGAATTGGGGTGCTGGGAGGTGGTGGGGTGGGAATTGGGGTGCTGGGGGATGTGGGGCTGGAACTGGGGTGCTGGGGGCACTGGGAGCATGGGAGAGGCACTGGGGTGAGGAAGTGGAGGCGCTGGGATGCGCTGGGGGAAGGAGCAGAGGGTACAGGGGAACATGGGGCTGGAATTGGGGTGCTGGGGGCATTGGTTTGATGGGTGCTGTCACCGGAGGCTGTTGTGGTTGGACCTTGGGGTGCACTGGGGGCAGCAAAGTGGGTGCTGGTGGAGCAGCCCCCCCCTGACAGCGCCACCCCCAGGCCTTCAGGACGGGGTGCCCGCGGTGTCAGAGGCCATAGCGAGGGCCAAGGGCATCGAGCTCGATATCTCCCATTATTACACCTACCTGCACCCCAACCCCAGCACCATGCCCGAGCCGCGGTGAGACCCCCAAACCCAGCCCCATCCCCATCCCATCCTCATCCTCATCCCCATCCCATCCCCACCCCATCCCCATCCCCATCCCATTCCCATCCTAATCCCATCCCCATCCCATTCCCATCCCCTTCCCTTCTCCATCCCATCCCCATCTTCACCCTCATCCCCACACTCATCATCATCCTCATTCCTATCCCATCCCCATCCCATCCCATCCCCATCCCCATCCCATCCCTGTCCCCAACCCATCCCCATCCCATTCTCATCCTATCCAGAGCCCCATCCCCATCCCCTTCCCTTCTCCATCTCATCCCCTTCTCTTCTCCATTTCTGTCCCCATCCCCATCCCCATCCCCATCCCACCCCCATCCCCATCCCACCTCCATTCCCATCCCCATCCCACCCCCATCCCATCCCCATCCCACCTCCATTCCCATCCCCATCCCACCTCCATTCCCATCCCCATCCCATCCCCATCCCATCCCCATCCCATCCCCATCCCATCCCCATCCCACCCCCATCCCATCCCCATCCCACCTCCATTCCCATCCCCATCCCATCCCATCCCCATCCCCATCCCATCCCCATCCCCATCCCCATCCCATCCCCATCCCATCCCCATCCCATCCCCATCCCACCTCCATTCCCATCCCCATCCCATCCCATCCCATCCCCATCCCATCCCCATCCCCATCCCATCCCCATCCCATCCCCATCCCATCCCCATCCCATCCCCATCCCACCCCTCCATTCCCATCCCCATCCCATCCCATCCCACCCCATCCCTTCCCATCCCTTCCCAGCCCATCCCATCCCCATCCCATCCCCATCCCCATCCCCATCCCCACCCCACCCCCATCTCCCCACTAACCCACCCCTCACCACAGCCTGGACCCGGGGCTGCGGGTGGGCTCCCTGACCCCAGCACACGTGGATCTGCTCAACAAGACCTGGCCCTACGGGGGCACAGCTCGGAGCCGCCAGTACCTGGAGGAGCTGCTGCGGCTCTTCCCCAGCCTGTGCCTGCGGGACGGGGCCGGGCAGCCGCTGTCCTGGGCGCTGACGGACCCCTTCGGAGCCGGCACGCACGGGTACACGCTCCCCGCGCACCGCCGCAGCGGGTACATGTGCACGGTGCTGGGCCTGGCTGCCCGCAGGGCTCAGGCTCGTGGCTTCCCCACCTTCGGCTTCACGGCCACCGGGAACCGGCCCATGCAGCGCCTGCAGGAGGAGATGGGGCATCAGCGCCTGCCGGGGCTGTGCTGTTACATCCTGCACAACCCTAACCTGAAGGGAGCCTAAATCCTACCCCTCCATTTCCATTCCCCCATTCCAGCCCTTGGAATGGGTGGGGAAGTGTGAGGGAGGAAACACGGAACTGAAAGCAAAAGAGCGGTGTGGATTCTCTGGTGGCTGCTATGGGGTTGTGCGGCCGCTTTTCTCACGCGTGGCTTAACACCGGCCGTTACAGAGCGGGTTTGGTGCTGAGGGATTTGCCCCTAGGGAGTCACCTCGTGTCCGCGCACAGCCCCATAGAATCAATGGGGCAGCACCGCCGGTTCCGACGCCTGAGCTCTCTATGGGGCTGATGCGGGACACGCACCACGGCTCCTGCTGTCGGGCTCCCTATGGGAGGGCTCAAGAGCCTCAAGCACCTGCAGCGTCCCCCCCCCACGGGACGGTGTCACCGGGGGGATGCGCTGCTTGCGGAGCCCATTGACGGGGTGCGGGGGGGACCGATGCAGAGCGCAGCGCTGAGCCACCGGTAACGGGGACAACGGGGACAAGGAGGGGACAGCGCCGGCCCCGCCGCTTCCGCCCCATAGGCGGGGCGTTGTGCGCTGGTTACCGGTAGGAACGCGGCCCCCGCCGCTGTCCCGCAGGGCGATGGAGCAGCCCCGGCTCATCACCGACTCCTTCCCGTTACGGCGGCGGCGGCGGCGGCCGGGCCGAGCCCCGGGCACGGGTAAAGGCAAAGGGAAGGGGAAAGGCACCGGGTGCCCCCGGGTTCCAGCGGCCGAGGAGGAGTCACCGGGGTCCGGTCCGGATCCGAGCGTCCTGGAGATGCTGCGGAGCTTCGATCTGGCGTGGGAGTACGGGCCGTGCACTGGTGAGAGAACCGGGACCGCGCTGACCCCCATGGAACCCCCATGATGGAACCCCCTGGATCGCCCTATTCCCACTGCTCCCCCCCAATTCCCATAGGAATCACCCGCCTGCAGCGCTGGGAGCGCGCACAGGAGCTGGGGCTCAGCCCCCCGGACACGGTGCGTGATGCCCTCCTGGAGCATCAGGATGATCCCAGCATCATCTACAAGTGGGTATTAAATGGGATGGGGAACACACACACACACACAGGGTTCCCCATCCCTCTCCCTGTTCCCCCCTCCATGCATTGGGGGCATCCTTTTGGCCACCCACAAGCAGGATGGGGGGCACGCTCTGACCCCCCCTTTGTGCCCCACAGCCTCTGGCACGAGTACGAGCTCTGAGCCGCTGCTGCACCCCAGCGCTGGAGGGAGCAAAGGGGGGGCTGTGCCCGCTGCCCCCCAGGCCTGGCTGCAGCCAGGGTGCATTAAAGGCTGTGTGGAAGGAGAGGGGCTGCTGTGTGCTGTGGGGAGGGGGTACCCGGGCTGGGGGGGGGGGGCTGTGTTATGGGGGTGGTACCTTGGGTAAGGGCATAGCTTGGTGCTGGACACGGCACTGGGTCCATGTGTGCGATGGAAGGAAGGGGATGAGTGCTATGGGGGGACCGTTGTGGTCTGAATCCCCCCCTGCTCCCATGTGTTGGTGCTCCTAGGGATGAGCTGGAGCAGGGGTGGGAGCTCTTTGCCATCCAGAGTGGGGCTTGGGGTGCTACAGCCCTATAGGGGAGAGCTGGTGTGGGCAGGATGGTGCCCATCGGGGTGCTCAGCCCTGCTGGAGGGGGAGGAGTCACCCAAAGGTGAGCTTTGGCAATGGGGTGGGGAAGGAAGGGGGAGCAGCAGAGCGATGGGGAGGGGGCAGGAGAAGGGGCATGGGATGCCCTCAGCACCACTCACCACTGCGGGGGGTCCGGGGTATCCGTGAGGTCCTTCCTGAAGCTGGGGTGCAGCCGGGCCCTCTGCGGGGCTTGGAATCATGGAACCATGGGATGGGGTGGGATGAAGGGGGTTTAAAGCTCATCCAACCCCAACCCCTTCCACTGGAGCAGGGTGCTCCAAGCCCCTGTGTCCTTGAGCACTGCCAGGGATGGGGCAGCCACAGCTTCTCTGGGCACCCTGTGCCAGCGCCTCAGCACCCTCACAGGGAAGAGCTTCTGCCTAAGAGCTCGGCTCAGTCTCCCCTCGGGCAGGTTCAAGCCATTCCCCTTGGCCTGTCCCTACAGGCCCTTGTCCCAAGCCCCTCTCCAGGTTCCCTGCAGCCCCTTTAGGCACTGGAGCCCCCTTCAGGAGCTTTCTCCAATGGGACCTTCCTGCATTGGCAGTGGGGAGGGAAAAGCCGTATCAATCCCATGGGATGCCTAAGGTTAAAAGCCATCAGGAGCAGCTTTGCCGTGTGTGGAACTGTTTCATTGTGAATCCCTCATAGGATGTGATTGTTATTTGCCTGATGTCTTAAAGCTCTTCTGTTGCTTCGTCAATAAAATGAATCGGTTGTATCCCAAACCTGCCATTAAGAGCTGGACCGTGGAGTAACCCAGGCCATGTCCTGGGAGCGGGGTGGGATGGGGCACAGCACTGGTGCCACTCACCCTGCAGGCACCGAGCCCTCCCTGCCCCATTCCTCAGCCAGACCCGGTCCTGCTGGAGGAGCTTCGGGCCCAGCTCCATCTAACCCTGCCCTGGTGCAGCTTGAGGCCGGTTCCTCTTGTCCCAGCCCTTGTTCCTTGGGAGCAGAGCCCAGCCCCTCCTGGCTCCATCCTCCTGTCAGGCAGTTGGAGGCAGCCATCAGGTCCCCCCTGAGCCTTCTCTTCTCCATCTGAACCCCCCAGCTCCCTCAGCCCTTCCCCATCACCCTTGGGCTCCAGGCCCTGCCCCAGCTCCATTGCCCTGCTCTGGCCCCGCTCCAGCCCCTCAAGGTCTCTCTTGCAGTGAGGGGCCCAGAGCTGAGCACAGGATCCGAGGTGCAGCCTCCCCAGTGCCCAGCACAGGGGGCCAATCCCTGCCCTGTTCCCGGTCCCGGTTCCGGTTTCGGTTCCGGTTCCGGCCCCGCGGCGCGGCCTAGGCCGCTAGGCCTCTGTCAAGCCTGCACCCGGTTGCGTAGCAACCCGGAAGGTGCTCTAAGCCAGTCTCCGCGCAAGGGATGCCGGGAGCTGTAGTCGGCTCCCCGCTTCCCCCTCCACATAAGATGGCGGCGGCGCTTCGCGGTACCGGAGGTGCCGGTTCCCGGTGCCCCGCCGGCCTTGGACGCTGTCCCGGGCATCAGGCAGGCCCGGGCCGGCCGGTTCCGCTCTTTATTGTCAGTGCTGGTGCAGGGCGGGCAGCAGGGCCCCGCGCCGGCCTCCGCCACCCGCAGTAGTGTGAAAGGAGGGGGCGTGGCCATGGATAAGCCCAGCCCCTTCGCAGTGATTGGAGGAGAGCTCTGCCTTAGTCGTCGGTGCGCGCGGCCATGGGCGGAGCCTCCCTCCTCGGGGGCGTGGTCACCTCAGGGGGCGGGGCCTCCGTCGAGGCTGGCCTGGCGCGGCACCCGGCGCGGGCGGGACGAGGGTCGAGGTTGGGGCGATGCTGCCGGGGGGGACCCCCCTGAACCCGCCGGTGCCTCCGCAGAAGCGAACACCTATGGGGAGGTCAGGGGGGGCTCAGGCAGTGCCGCAGCCCCGCTGCTTGCACCCCCCGGTCCCTGCACTCACCTCCTCGCAGAGCGGCTCCTCAGGGGGCTCCATCTGGCTGATGCTCCTCATGACGGCGCACAGGGAGATGCGGGGCCGAGGGGAGGCCCCCAGCACCCCCGGCACTGTCACGTCCTCAAGGGGCTGCGGGGATGGGGCTGCGCCGCCCTCGTCCCCTTGGGGCTGCGGCTGGGGCTGGGGCTCGGCCACCCTGGGCTCCCACATGGTGCTGTGACGGCTGCCGCACACCCGCCCGTCACCCCCTGACCGGGCCCCCTCCGCAGCGGCAACGCGGGGGGTCCCACAGACTCCGCCCACCCCGTGATGCATGCCCCGCCCACCCGGTGTGAAGGGGCGTGGTCAAAAGAGGCTTCATTCACCACACTTATCGCTATGGACAAGGGGGCGTGGTCACACCAGACCACGCCCCTTGTTACCAAAGAAGGAGTAGTCACGATACACTCTCCAGCCTAAGGGGCGTGGTTACAACAGACCACGCCCTCTCACTGTTAAAGGAGGCGTGGCCACGACTGTCCACACCTTTCCTGTCCTAAAGGGGCGTGGCCACTCCACTGCCTCCTCATATACAAAGGGGGCGTGGCCACACAAGACCCCATCCTTCCAATCCAAAGGGGGGCACGGTCAAAGTTGACCCCAACCTCTCATACTGAAGGGTTTATACCCCATATATCTATATATACCCATATATACCCATATCTATATATATATCTAGATATCCCATATCTATATATGGGATATATACCCATCTATATCTATATATAGAGATATATGGGATATATACCCATATATATGCCTCTACATCCCACCTATCCCCAAAGAGGGCGTGGCCTCATCAGACCCCGCCCCCTCATACATGATTGGACATAGCACCAGAAGGCCCAGTACCCTCCCTCCCCAAGGGGGCATGGCCGCATAGATCCCCGCCTTTTCCTTAGCAAAAGGGGGCGTGGTCTCATCACGCCCCACCCCTGAGGGGGGCGTGTCCCCCCTCGGCCCCACCCACCTGGCGCTCAGGATGCCCTGGTAGAAGTCGAGCTGCCGCATGAAGCCGGGGTTGGGCATGGCGCCGGGCCGGCAGTGCCGTACGTGCCGCAGCGCCCGCTCCAGGGGCCACCCGAACTCCTTCATGGCGTACGCCAGCACCGTGGCTGCCGAGCGGCTCAGCCCCATGCGGCAGTGAACCAGTGCCCGGCCCCCGCTGGCCCTGCGGTGTGCACCCATGGACACTGAGTGCGTGGGGGCACCCGTTGCCACCGGGGCACAGCATGGCACTGGGGGCCCCCTGCTCCATGGTTCCCATATCCCGAGTGCTCCCCATGTCCCAGGGACCTTGTTCCCAATGGGTCCCATGTTCCCAGAGCTCCCATTGTCCCCAGGGACCTTGTTCCCAATGGTTCCCATGTTCCCAGAGCTCCCCATGACCCAGGGGACCTTGTTCCCAATGGGTCCCATGTTCCCAGAGCTCCCATTGTCCCCAGGGACCCTGCACCCAATGGTTCCCATCTTCCCAGAGCTCCCATTGTCCCCAGAGACCTTGTTCCCAATGGTTCCCATGTTCCCAGAGCTCCCATTGTCCCAGGGGACCTTGTTCCCAATGGGTCCCATGTTCCCAGTGCTTCCCATGTCCCCAGGTACCTTGTTCCCAATGGTTCCCTTGTCCCCAGGGACACTGTGCCCCACAGTCCCCATGTCCCCATGTCTCCCCACATTCCCATAGGCCCCAATGGGAGATCACCCCATCTCCAGTGCTCCCAGTGTCCCCAGTGCTCTCCATGCCTACCAGCACCTCAGTCACCAAGACACCTCCCGCAGATACCCCCATCCATGTTGTGTTCCCTTCACCCTGCCCCTCCTCTAACCCCTGTCCCCCCATGCCCCCCACATCCTGGAACCCCCACATTGCCCCTGTGCCCCAGGGCTGCCCTGGCCCCACTGACCGGACACGGGAGAGGAAGAGGAAGGTGTCGTTCCAGTGGGGCAGGAGCTGGGCCGTCTCCTCATCGTACACCCGCACGTTCATGTAGGTGAACAGCGCCGGGAAGAAGTTGTCGATCTCCCGCGCCACGTTCAGGATGTGGGTGACCCTGGGGCAGCACGAACAGGGGGGTCTGCCTGTGCTCCACATCCACCCCACTGCGGTGCCATAGACCTCCTGCACCCACCCTGCCAAGTGTTCCATGAGGACCTCACATCCATCCCAATGGGTGCCCTACAGGGACCCCTTCGACCACCCCAATGGGTGTCGCAGGATGATCAGATGGCCGACCCAATGGGTGCCCTGCAAAGACCCCATGATCAACTGAGTGGGTGCCCTACAAAGACCCTATCATCAACCCAGTGAGTGCCCTACAAAGACCCCATGATCAACCCAATGGGTGCCCTACAAAGACTCCATGATCAACCCAATGGGTGCCCTACAAAGACTCCATGATCAACCCAATGGGTGCCCTACAAAGACTCCATGATCAAACCAATGGGTGCCCTACAAAGACTCCATGATCAACCCAATGGGTGCCTTACAAAGACCCCATGATCAACCCAATGGGTGCCTTACAAAGACCCCATGATCAACCCAATGGGTGTCTTACAAAGACCCCATGATCAACCCAATGGGTGCCTTACAAAGACCCCATGATGAACCCAATGGGTGCCCAAAACAGACCATTCCTATCTCAATAAGTGCCTTACAAAGACACCTTCAGTACTCCAATGGGTGCCCTACTAAGACCCTGTGCCCACTCCAATGGGTCCCCCATGATGACACAACACCCATCCAAATGGGTGCCCTACAAGACCCCATGTCCATCCCCATGCCTGTCCTGCAATGACCCCATATCCACCCATCAGCATCCCATGATGACCCCATACCTGCACCACCGTAACACTCCAGATGACCCCATGCCACCCCACTGAGCCACCCCCCGATCTCCCTATGCCCACCCCACCACTGTACCCCAATGACCCCGCACTCACCGGTTCTGCTGCAGCTCCTCCAAGTTGGCCGCGTTCCATTCAGATCCCTGCATGGTGGCAGTGGTGAGCCCTGGGGACGAGCCCTGCCCGCCCTTACCACCGTGCCCAACCTTGCCCACCAGGTAGAGGTGAGGGAACACACGGGAGGGCCGGTCCATCTGCGCCAGCACCAGCAGCATCTCGTTGTCGATGAAGTCCTTGTGCTGGGCCAGGCTGTGCCCCGTGCGCCGCTCCAGCTCCTCCCGGACCTGGGGACCACCATGGGGTGATGGATGCTCCTGCCCCTGCCTGCGGACCAGGCTCTTGGCCCCTGTCTGGGGTCACCCACCTCCTTGGAGGTGACGCTCTCCAGGTCGGCGCTGGCCATCACGTCCCGGAGCAGTGCCCGCACTGTCTGCTCCGACAGCTCCGGTGCCCCTGGCCTGGCATTGGTGTCACCACATCACCGACCGATGGCCATGGCACTGCCCTGAGCAGGCCCCGCCTCCTCTGGACACAAGCCCCGCCTCCTCATGACCATACAAGGAGGAAAGCTCCACCCACTTACTTTAAACCCCGCCCCATTGGACACACCCCAGTCCCAAGGCCCTCCCCTAAACACAAACCCCACCTCCTCATGACCATTAAAGGGCATAAGATCCACCCACTTTCTTTCAACCCTGCCCCACTGGCCACACACCAACCCCAAGCCCCTCCCGTAAACACAATCCCCGCCTATTTATTCACACCCCAAGGGTTCAAGCTCCACCCACTTCATCAAACCCCTCCCCACTGGCCAGTCCCCGATCTCAAACCCCGACCTTATACACAAGCCACGCCTCCTCACTGCCATCAAAGGTTTGAAGCTCCACCCACTTCCTTTAAACCCCTCCCCATTGGTCACACCCTGGTTTTAAACCCCTCCTCCTTATGCCCATAGAAAGCGTGGAAGCTCCACCCACTTCCTTTAAACCCTGCCCCATTGGTCACACCCTGGTTTTAAACCCCTCCTCCTTATGCCCATATAAAGCGTGGAAGCTCCACCCACTCCTTTAAACCCCACCCCATTGGTCACACCCTGATTTAAAACCCCTCCTCCTTATGCCCATACAAAGCATGGAAGCTCCACCCACTCCTTTAAACCATACCCCATTGGCCACACCCTGTTGCTAAGCCCCGCCCCTAAACACGCGAGTCCCGCCTCCTTATTGACATAAAAGACCTGGATCTCCACTCACTTCCTATAAGCCCCTCCCCATTGGCCACACTCCTCTCCCAAACCCCACCTCCTCCACCCTTTAGCCCCGCCTCCCTCCGCAAGCACAGCGCTGATTGGCCCGGTGGGCGGAGCTTACCGGCGGGGGGGCGGGGACGCGGGCCGCACGGACTCCAGCCCGGCCATGGCGCTCCACTCGTTGAGGCAGCTCTGCTCCGAGCCCAGCGCCGCCGCGTACCCCCGGGCCCAGCCCAGCGCCGCCCCGCCGGGGATGTGCCCCCCTCGGGACGCGTCCTCGCAGGCGCGGTGCAGCTCCTGCAGCACGGCCCTGCCACAGCGCCTCACACCGCACCCCCCCCGCACCGCATGGGGGGGCCCGGGGGGCCTCAACCCTCCCCACACCCCCCCCGTTCCGTGCCCTGCGTGTACCCGCTGCAGTGCCCACACCATCACCCCCTCACCGTGGTGGTACCCATGCGCCCTGCCCAATGGGATGCCCATATCCCTCCTGAACACAGTGGTACCCATGTGCCCTGCCCACAGGGATGCCCATATCCCCCCTGAACACAGTGGTACCCATGTGCCCTGCCCACAGGGATGCCCATATCCCTCCTGAACACAGTGGTACCCATGTGCCCTGCCCACAGGGATGCCCATATCCCCCCTGAACACAGTGGTACCCATGTGCCCTGCCCACAGGGATGCCCATATCCCCCCTGAACACAGTGGTACCCATGCGCCCTGCCCACAGGGATGCCCATATCCCCCCTGAACACAGTGGTACCCATGTGCCCTGCCCACAGGGATGCCCATATCCCCCCTGAACACAGTGGTACCCATGTGCCCTGCCCACAGGGATGCCCATATCCCCCCTGAACACAGTGGTACCCATGCCCCCCCACAACCCAACCCCAACACAACCACCCTGCCCACAGGGATGCCCATATCCCCCCTGAACACAGTGGTACCCATGTGCCCTGCCCACAGGGATGCCCATATCTCCCCTGAACACAGTGGTACCCATGTGCCCTGCCCACAGTGATGCCCATATCCCCCCTGAACACAGTGGTACCCATGTGCCCTGCCCACAGGGATGCCCATATCCCCCCTGAACACAGTGGTACCCATGCGCCCTGCCCACAGGGATGCCCATATCCCCTCTGAACACAGTGGTACCTATGTCCCCTGCCCACAGGGGTACCCGCAGGGGTGCCCTTGTCCCCCCCCAGTGCTCGTGGTGGTGAGCACATCCCCTTAATATGGTGGTACCCCCATCCCGTGCCCATTGGGAGGCCCGTATCCTCTCTGATATGATGGTACCCACATCCCATGCCCATAGGGATGATCATATCCCCCTGAATATGGTGGTACCCAGATCCCATGCCCCTTGGGAAGCCTGTATCCTCTCTGATATGGTGGTACCCACATCCCATGCCCACAGGGATGATCATATCCCCCTGAATGTGGTGGTACCCCATACCGTGCCCCTTGGGAAGCCTGTATCCTCTCTGATATGGTGGTACCCACATCCCATGCCCATAGGGATGATCATATCCCCCTGAATATGGTGATATCCATGTCCCGTTCCCCCTGGGAGGCCCATATCCTCTCTGATATGGTGGTACCCACATCCCATGCCCATAGGGATGATCATATCCCCCTGAATATGGTGGTACCCACGACCCATGCCCATTGGGAGGCCCGTATCCTCTCTGATATGGTGGTACCCACATCCCATGCCCATAGGGATGATCATATCCCCCTGAATATGGTGGTACCCCCATCCCATGCCCCTTGGGAGGCCCATATCCTCTCTGATATGATGGTACCCCCATCCCATGCCCCTTGGGAGGCCCATATCCTCTCTGATATGGTGGTACCCACATCCCACACCCATAGGGATGATCTCATCCCCCTGCATATGGTGATACAGACGTCATGCCCATGGGAATGCCCATATTCCAGCTGAGCACTGTGGGATCCATACCCAGTGCCCACAACCTTCCCATGACCATAGTGGCGACCACATCCCCCGTGACCATGGTGGAACCCACATCCCGTACCCATGCGGATGCCCACCCTGAGCACGGTGCTGCCCACGTTCCACGCCCATGGCAGCGCCCACATAATCCCATGTGGGGTCACTCACCACATGGTCTGCACAGAGATGGGCTTGAAGATGCGGGTCTCTCCCCCTGACGTCACGCTGAACCCTCTGAGCACCATGGGGAGACACAGGGAGGGTACCAAGGGGGTCACCCCAACCCCCTCCCACCCCTTTATCCACCTTCCACTGCCCCCCCCCCCCCAATTCCCCTTACCCATCGCCATCGAGGAAGACCTGGGTGTCGCTCCAGAGGGGCAGCACCATGCCCAGGGTGCAGCGGGATGCCCTGGGGCAGGCAGAGGTGAGGGGATGCAGCCGCCCCCCCACCCCAGGTACCCCCCCTAGCGCCCCACTCACCCCTCATGGGCAAAGTCCACCCCCAGCAGCGCCGCCTCCCCCTGGGCCCCCGCCTCCTCGGGCCGCACCACCAGCAGGTACCGCACCCGCCGCGGCCGCGCCGACTCCAACCGCACCGCCTGCAAGGATGGGCTCAGGGGGGGCTCCTGCACTGCGGGATCTGCCCCCGGGTGCCCCCGGTGTCCCCAGTGCGCTGCAGGGCAGGCTGGGCTGTAGCCGTCCCCTTCCATCCCTGTCTCCAGCCTGTGCTCAGCCCGTGCTGTTGTATCTCCATCCTGTCTGTCCCATCTCCATCCATATCCCACACCCGTCCCCATGCCCATCCCTTCTCCCCTCGTCCCATCCTGTACCATCCCTGTCACATCCCTGTCCCCATCCCATCCTGTCCCATCACACGACATCCCCATCCTATCCTCACCTTTTATTCCATCCCATCTCATCCCATCCTGTCCCATCACATGACATCCCCATCCTATCCTTACCTTTTATTCCATCCCATCTCATCCCATCCTGTCCCATCCATATCCTATTCCCATTCCAATACTGTCCCCATCCCAATCCTGTCCCATCACACGACATCCCCATCCTATCCTCACCTTTTATTCCATCCCATCTCATCCCATCCTGTCCCATCCATATCCTATTCCCATTCCAATACTGTCCCCATCCCAATCCTGTCCCATCACACGACATCCCCATCCTATCCTTACCTTTTATTCCATCCCATCTCATCCCATCCTGTCCCATCCATATCCTATTCCCATTCCAATACTGTCCCCATCCCAATCCTGTCCCATCACACGACATCCCCATCCTATCCTCACCTTTTATTCCATCCCATCTCATCCCATCCTGTCCCATCACATGACATCCCCATCCTATCCTCACCTTTTATTCCATCCCATCTCATCCCATCCTGTCCCATCACACGACATCCCCATCCTATCCTCACCTTTTATTCCATCCCATCTCATCCCATCCATATCCTATTCCCATTCCAATACTCTCCCTATCCCAATCCTGTCCCATCAAATGACACCCCCATCCTATCCTCAACTTTATCCAACCCCATCCCATCCTGTTCCATCCATATCCCATTCCCACTCCCATACTGTCCCCACCTCTGTCCCCATCCCCATTCTGTCCCACCCCCATATGTCCTCATTCCAGTCCTGTCCTGGCCCATGCCATTCCCATCCTATCCCCACACTCATCTCATGCCACCTCATACCATCCTGCCTCATCCATATCCCATTTCCATCCCCATCTTTTCCTTACCTTTATCCCATCCCATCCCATCCCATCCCATCCCATCCTGTCCCATCCATATCCCATTCCCACTCCCATACTGTCCCCACCCCGTCCCCATCCCCATTTTGTCCCACCCCCATACGGCCCCCATCCTCATCCCATCCATATCTCATTCTCCTTCCCATCCTGCCCCCATCACCATTCTGTCCATCCCAATCCTGCTCTGTCCCATGCTATCCCCATCCCCATTGCATCCCATCCATATCCAGTTCCCCTGTTCCATCCCCATCCTGCCCCCATCCTCATCCCATCCATATCTCATTCTCCTTCCCATCCTGTCCCATCCATATCCCATTCCCACTCCCATACTGTCCCCACCCCTGACCCCATCCCCATTTTGTCCCACCCCCATCCTGCCCCCATCCTCATCCCATTCCCCTCCTCATCCCATCCCCATCACCATTCTGTCCATCCCAATCCTGCTCTGTCCCATGCCATCCCTATCCCCATTGCATCCCACCCATACCCAGTTCCCATCCCCATTCTATTCTCACCCTTGTCCCCATCCCCACCCATAGCCCATCCCCATCCCTATCCCACCCCTGTTATCCCATTCCCACCAGCCGGATGGCGTCCTGAGGCCGCAGCAGCTGCATCATGAGCTGGAGGTGCTGCTCCTGCTGCCCCTGGGCCAGGCTGGGGGGCTCGGCCGGGGGGGACTCAGCCGGGGGGTGCTCCTCAGCAGGCAGCAGCAGAGCGGCCCCTTTGACCATGACAAAGCTCTGCCTGGGGGGCAGAAGCTCCTCAGTGGGATGTGGGACCCACAGCATGGCCCTCATGGATGGGGGGCCCCCCAAAACACTTCCCCAAGGGGGAGATAGCTGGGGTACCATAGTGGGGGGGATGCTCCTATCTGTATCCCTGTATCCCATGGCCCTCATGGATGGGGGCCCCCCAAAACACTTCCCCAAGGGGGAGAGAGCTGGGGTACCATGGGGGGGGGATGCTCCTATCTGTATCCCTGTATCCCATGGCCCTCATGGATGGGGGGCCCCCAAAACACTTCCCCAAGGGGGAGAGAGCTGGGGCACCATGGGGGGGGGGATGCTCCTATCTGTATCCCTGTATCCCATGGCCCTCATGGATGGGGGCCCCCAAAACACTTCCCCAAGGGGGAGAGAGCTGGGGCACCATGGGGGGGGGATGCTCCTATCTGTATCCCTGTATCCCATGGCCCTCATGGATGGGGGCCCCCAAAACACTTCCCCAAGGGGGAGAGAGCTGGGGTACCATGGGGGGGGATGCTCCTATCTGTATCCCTGTATCCCATGGCCCTCATGGATGGGGGCCCCCAAACACTTCCCCAAGGGGGAGAGAGCTGGGGTACCATGGGGGTGGGATGCTCCTATCTGTATCCCTGTATCCCATGGCCCTCATGGATGGGGGCCCCCAAAACACTTCCCCAAGGGGGAGAGAGCTGGGGCACCATGAGGGGGGGATGCTCCTATCTGTATCCCTGTATCCCATGGCCCTCATGGATGGGGGCCCCCCAAAACACTTCCCCAATGGGGAGAGAGCTGGGGTACCATGGGGGGGATGCTCCTATCTGTGTCCCTGTATCCCATGGCCCTCATGGATGGGGGCCCCCCAAAACACTTCCCCAGGGAGAGAGCTGGGGTACCATGGGGGGGGATGCTCCTATCTGTATCCCTGTATCCCATGGCCCTCATGGATGGGGGCCCCCCAAAACACTTCCCCAAGGGGGAGAGAGCTGGGGCACCATGGGGGGGGATGCTCCTATCTGTATCCCTGTATCCCATGGCCCTCATGGATGGGGGCCCCCCAAAACACTTCCCCAAGGGGGAGAGAGCTGGGGTACCATAGTGGGGGGGATGCTCCTATCTGTATCCCTGTATCCCATGGCCCTCATGGATGGGGGCCCCCCAAAACACTTCCCCAAGGGGGAGAGAGCTGGGGCACCATGGGGGGGGGGATGCTCCTATCTGTATCCCTGTACCCCATGTCCCCCATTCAGGGGACATCCCCTTCTCACCGCCGCTGCAGTTGGCCACGTCTGGGTGCATCTTCCTCCTGCAACGCAATGGGGGGGTGGCAATGTCCCCATAAGGGAGTGTGACCCCGGGGGCACAGGTCATGCGTGGGGGGTCAGCAACCCCCCCCCCCCCAACACATCCCACTGGGGACCAGTGACCCCCTGCAACCCCCAACCAGCAGCACGGGAGGCATTGGTTGGGACTCATTAGGGAGCATGGGAGCCATGGGGGGGTCCCATTAGGGAGGCAGATCAGCTCTGGGATGGCGGGGGGGGGGGGTCCTGTCCCTGTGCTCCCCCCTGTTTGGGTGCTGTAGGATGACTCAATAAGGCCCAATGGGAACTGAAAGGGGGAGGACGGGAGCACCGGGAAGCATCGGGACACCGAAGCTCCTGGGAGCACTGGGGAGCAGCTGGGGTCACCCCCCCACCGCCCCATAGCCCCTTAACTACAGAGCAGCCCCACCGGGAGCAGAGGAACCCCCCCATGTGCTGGGAATCACCCCCGGTAACGTCCCACCGGGGGCGGCCGCGATCAGCCCGTCCCGGGAGGCACCGGAGCGGACTCAAATCCTTCCCCCCCCCGCTCCACACCGCGTTGGGACACCCCGAACCCCCCCCCCCCCCATCCCAGCGCTGGTACCGGATCCGCGCTCCCCCCGCTCCCGTCCCCGTCCCGCACTCACCGCCGAGCCCCCGCCGGACCCCGCCGCCCGCCGCACCGTCACCAGCGCCATGCCCCGCGCACCAGGAAGCGCCGCCGCCGCCGCTGCCCCGCCCGGACGGGAACGGGAACGGGAACGGGCACGGCGCCGGGCACGGAGCGGGATTTGCCCCCCTTAGCATCAGCCCCAGTCCCGGTACCACCGGACTGGCACCGGTACCACCCTTATGGTACCCCCTGCATCATCACCGCCCCCCAGCGCTGGTACCACCGGACTGGCACCGGTACCACCCTTATGGTACCCCCTGCATCATCACCGCCCCCCAGCGCTGGTACCACCGGACTGGCACCGGTACCACCCTTATGGTACCCCCTGCATCATCACCGCCCCCCAGCGCTGGTACCACCGGACTGGCACCGGTACCACCCTTATGGTACCCCCTGCATCATCACCGCCCCCCAGCGCTGGTACCACCGGACTGGCACCGGTACCACCCTTATGGTACCCCCTGCATCATCACCGCCCCCCAGCCTGGTACCACCGGACTGGCACCGTACCACCCTTATGGTACCCCCTGCATCATCACCGCCCCCCAGCGCTGGTACCACCGGACTGGCACCGGTACCACCCTTATGGTACCCCCTGCATCATCACCGCCTCCCAGCGCTGGTACCACCGGACTGGCACCGGTACCACCCTTATGGTACCCCCTGCATCATCACCGCCTCCAGCGCTGGTACCACCGGACTGGCACCGGTACCACCCTTACGGTACCCCCTGCATCATCACCGCCCCCCAGTGCTGGTACCACCGGACTGGCACCAGTACCATCCTTATGGTACCCCCTGCATCATCACCGCCTCCCAGTGCTGGTACCACCGGACTGGCACCGGTACCACCCTTATGGTACCCCCTGCATCATCACCGCCCCCCAGCGCTGGTACCACCGGAGCGGGAACCCCCAAACTGCCCTACCGGGGACCCGGCCCCTGAGACCCCGCAGGATTCACCCTCTGGCACATAGGATCCCAGTACCTGGGACCCCCCCCGTTCCCAGAGCCCCTCACCCTGGCATTGGGGCTCTACTGGTTGTGCCCCCCTGGGTGCCAGCACACCCTGACCCCCTCCTTCAACCCTATGCTCTCTCAATCCCACCCCCGAGTGGAACACCCCATCCCACCCCAAACTGGACCCCTGTTACCTTAGGACCCCCCCCCCAAGCCCCTTGTCATTCCATGGCTCAGCACTGGGTCTCCAGGAATTACACATGGAATGTAATATACCCAGGGCAGAGAATGGGGGCACTAGGGCAAGATTTTGGGGGGGGGGGGCGAGGGGGAAGAAAATCCCATGGGATCCCCCCAGTTCCCCCCCCCATGCCATTCTTCCCACAGGCTCTGCCCCCTTCTCCCCCCCACCACAGTCAGCACACACATGTATATATATATATGTATATATGTATATGTACATACAAGGGCCCCCCACTGCCCCCCAAGGGATGAGGCCTGGGGGTTCCCTGCCCGTCCCCCCAGCACCCAACCCTGGGGTGCCTTTAAAGGGGCTCAGCCACATCCCACGGGGCCCCCCAGCTCCATCCTGCCCCCCTCCATGGGATCAATGTACAACACTGAAGACAAGGGGGGGGCCCTAGGGTGAAGGTCCTGGGGATAAGGGTATCCCTTGGGTAGGGCGGGGGGTCCCAGATCAGGGTGCCTGGGCTGAGATTTGAGGACCCCTCGGTTGTGGGTCCTGGGGGTAGAAGGATCCCTGGATCAATGCCCCCCATGTGGGAGCTATGCCCTCATCCGGAAGGGGTCCCGCCATGGGGATGCCCCCGCGGCACTGGCCATGCCCGAGTTGGGGTGTCCCCATGCGGGGTGATGCCCACACCAGGGTGACCCCACGCCTGATGCCATCCGGGTGCCCCCCCCACCCCACGTGGGTCACCCCCTCTCCCACGCAGAGCACCCCCGGGCTCTACTTGTCGGTGAGGGACAGCCGCAGGATGCGCTGCAGCTCCTCCTCCTCCTCCCGCCGGCGCCGCTCCCGCTCCTCCTGCTCCCGCTCCGACAGCGCCATGGCCAAGCGCAGCTGCTCCGCGAAGCTGCCGTAACCGGGGGGCACCGCGGGGCCGCTGCCATCCCCGCCGCCACCACCGGCACCGGCACCGGCACCGGGGGGGGTCCCGGCGGGCAGGGGCTCGGTGCTGGGGCCCGCCTGCAGCAGCATGCTCTCCTGTAGGGCCCTGCGCGGAGCGCCAGTGAGGCCACGCCCCCACCGCCTGCCCAACACGTGCTATTACCCGCCCCTGGGGTGGGCGGGGCATCCCTTAAGCCACGCCCCCTCACTCCCCAAGCGGGCGGAGCCTCACCGCTCAAGCTGCAGCTCCTCGTCATAGGGCGGCGGGTCGCTGCCCGGGCGGGTATTGGTCAGCGCCTCCCAGATCGTCACCTGTGGGCAGGGCTTGCGTGAGAAGGGAGGCGTGGTTGGCTCCCCGCGAGGGGCGGGGCTTGGCGCGGGGTGGGGGCGTGGCCTCGCCTGGTCGGTCTCGGTGCCGGCGTCGAGCAGGCTCTGCTGGATGGCGAACTGCAGGAGGTCGTCGTCCTCGTCGCGCAGGGGCTCGCTGCGCCCCGCGCCCAGCACCGTGTACCCCGCGGGCACCTCGAACACCCCCGCCTCCACCTCGCACGGGAAGGGCCAGCCTGCGGCGGGGTGCGGGGTGAGCACCCCCGGGCACCCCGTGCCCATGGCACCCCCCGTGCCCATGGCACCCAATGGCATCGCATGGCACCCCACGGCCCTGGCACCCTGGGTTACCCCGTGGCACACTACCCCCACAGCTCCCCTAGAGCACACCATGGTATCCCGCAGCACCCCGTGATGTCCTATGGTGTCCAGTGGTACCCCATGGCATCCCACAGCAACCCACACCCACAGCACCCTGTGATGTCCTATGGTGTCCAATGGTACCCCATGGCATCCCACGGCACCCAGCACCATCCTGCTGCTCCCTGCATCCATGGCACCCCATGGCATCCCACAGCAACCCACACCCACAGCACCCCGTGATGTCCTATGGCACCCCATGGCATCCCACAGCACCCTGTGGCATCCCACACCCATGATAACCCATGGCATCCCATGGCACCCTGTGACATCCCACAGCACCTCACACCCATGGGCACCCTGTTCCCCTGAGCACCCTGCACCCCACGACCACATCACCCTGTACCCAGCATCCCCCCCAGACCCCTCATCCTGAGCACCCCCAGCACCCATCCCCATGGACATCCTGGTGGTACCCAGGGCACCCCCATCCTCACCTCTGTTTCCGGGGGGCTGGGTACCGGGGGGCTGCGGGGGGGCGCACACCCGCACGGAGCCCAGGGGTTGGTCGCACCCACAGAGGTTGCTGAAGGTGATGCGGGCGTTGAGCACGTGGAACAGGGGGATCTCTGGGGACACACACATGGGGGTCACTGTCCCCATCCCATTGCAAGCCCTGCCCCACAGGAGCCCCCTCCGCACCGATCTTGACGGGGAAGCCGGGGGGCAGCTTGAGGGTGATGAAGTCCCGCAGCTTGGCGAAGTGCGCGTTGGAGATGGCCATGAGGTCGATGATGGGGGTCACCTGCTCCGCCAGTGACAGCGGGTGCTGCTCGCACAGCCACAGCGTCGCCTTGAACCTGCGGGCACCGTGGGGCAGGGGGGAACCCGGTAGGGATGTGGGGCAGGGGCACTCACAGCACCCCCATAGGGTGATGATGTGGTTGTGGGACCCATCACCCTTGCCATGGTCCTGATACCCAGTGCTGTACCCATGGGATCCATCACCCTTGCCATGGTTCTGGCACCCAGTGCCGGGCCCATGGGATCCATCTGCACCCCAATGGGTCAAGGCACCCAGTGCTGGGCCCATGAGATCCATCAGCACCCCAATGGGTGCTGGCACCCAGTGTTGTGCCCATGGGATCCATCAGCACCCCAATGGGTCCTGATACCCAGTGCTGTGTCCATGGGATCCATCAGCACCCCAGTGGGTCCTGGCACCCAGTGCTGTACCCATGGGATCCATCAGCACCCCAATGGGTCCTGGCACCCAATGCTGTGCCCATGGGATCCATCTGCATCCCAATGGGTCCTGGCACCCAGTGCTGTGCCCATGGGATCCATCAGCACCCCAATGGATGCTGGCACCCAGTGCTGTGCCCATGGGATCCATCAGCACCCCAATGGGTCCTGGCACCCAGTGTTGTGCCCATGGGATCCATCAGCACCCCAATGGGTCCTGGCACCCAGTGTTGTGCCCATGGGATCCATCTGCACCCCAATGGGTTCTACCACCCAGTGCCAAGTTCTTGGGACCCATCAGCACCCCAATGGGTCCTTGCAGCCAGCGCCCCATCCCTTGCACCCCATCACCACCCCAATGGGTTCTGACCCCATCCCTGTGCCCTGGTGCTGGCCTCACCTCTGCACCTTGCTGGACATCTCAATGGGGCGCCCGATGTTGCGGGTCTCCAGGTCGAAGTGGGGGTCGAAGTACTCCTCGGGGGTGATGGCTGTGGGGTTGGTGGGGCTGGCGGCCTGCAGCACGGGCGCCTGGGGGGGCACGGGCACTGCTCAGCCATGGAAGGGGGACCCCAGCACATGGGGGTGCCCCCAGGGACCCCCCCAGCCCGGTCACTCACCCCATTGTGGGTGCTGTGCTGCTGCGCGATGCCCAGGAAGGAGTGGAAGGGGGTCTTGGAGCCTGGATGGGGGGAGAGAGGGGGTTAAGCATGGGCAGGGGGCACAGCACCCCATGGCTGCCCCGGCTGCTGTGGGGCTCACCCCGCATGGGGTCCTATGCAGAGGGTGCCATACTCAATGGGTGACACCTTGCACCCATGGAGACCCATGTGTGATGGGAGACACCCAGCACCCATGATGTGCCAAGCACACCCCACACATTGCTCCATTCACCATGAGTCACATCCAGCACCCACAGCATCCCACACCTGATGAGTGTCCTATGCCCTAGGGGTTACCCTCAGCACCTATGGTGACCCACATGTGATGGGTGACACCCTGCACCAATGGTGACCCACATGTGGTGGGTCCCATCCCACAGCATCCCACAAATGACAGCTCACCCCCAGCACCCACAGTGTCCCATGACTGATGGGTGACATCCCAAACCTGACGGGTGACCCCCAGCACCCCACACCCCATGGGTGACACTCTGCACCCATTGTGTCCCAAACCCGATGGGTCACATTCCACACATCGTCCCATGTCCCATGGGTGGCACCCTACAGCACTCCCATTATGCCCCCAGGAAAGGGGCGGTCCCACTGCAGCCCCGCTCCCTGATTGGCTGCTGGTGATGCTGCTCTCCCTGATTGGCCGCTGCTCTCACCTTTGCTGCGGGACTTGTCCTGGTCGGAGAGATGCTCGGTCCTGGTCTTGGTGACCAGCTCCACGTTACTGGCGCTGTACACCTGAGATGGGGACAGGATCAGCGCCCCATTGCCCCCCCCATGTCCCCATTGCCCCCCCTATATCCCTGTGCCCACCTTGGCCTCGTAGCCGCTCACCACCTCCATCTTCTCCGAGCGCCAGCCCCAGATCCCAGACTTGTTCCTGCCACGGAGGAAGCTCCCCATGTCCCGCTCATCCTCTTGCACCAGCGTTTCCTTCCCCTTCCCCTTCTCACCCCCGGCCCCATGCCGTGCGCTCCTGCCCCACACCTCAGCACCGCCATGGGCCGCTCTGGGGCTGCCATCCCACCTCTCGAAGGCGATGTTCCTGGTGTCGAGGTGCGTGGAGACGATGGGGGACGTCAGCCGCCCGGCCACGTGCTCCTCGGAGGGCTGCATGGCCGCCAGCAGCAGGTCAGGCTCGTGTAGGGCCAGCGCCAGTGTCTCTGTGTAGACCACTTGCTTGTCGTGGTCCACCTCCATCACCACCGCTCCTTCATCTGGGCATGGTGGGACATGGGTCAGTGACTGCCATTGGCACCCCATCCCAACACCCCTAGAACGGGGGGGGTCAATGGGTTTGGGGGTGTCTTGGAGGTCTGGGGGGGAGCTGAAGGGTCCTGGTAGGTGTGGGTTGAGATGGAAGAAGTGGGGTTCCCAAGAGGTTCCTATTGGGGATCTAAGGTCCTTATCCTACCCATTGTAGTATATGGGTATATATGGTATATACTACGCATTGTAGTATATGGGTATATATATACTGTATGGGCCATATACCACCCATTGTAGTATATGGCCCATATATGACCCATTGTGGTATATGGGTATATATGGTATAAACTACCCATTGCAGTATACGGGTATATATATATATGGTCCATATACCACCCATTGTAGTATATGGCCCATATATACCCATATGTATATGGGTATATATGGTATATACTACCCATCGTAGCATATGGTCCATACACTACCCATTGTAGTATATGGACGTATATGGTATGTAGTACCCATTGTAGTTTATGGTCCTTATCCTACCTATTGTATATGGGTATATATGGTATATACTACCCATTGTAATATATGGGTATCTATGGTATATACTACCCGTTGTACTATATGGTCCTTATCCTACCCATTGTATATGGGTATATATGGTATATACTGCCCATTGTAGTACATGGTATATACTGCCCATTGTAGTACATGGTCCATACACTACCCATTGTGGTATATGGACACATATGGTATATACTGCCCATTGTAGTATATGGTCCATACACTACCCATTGTGGTATATGGACGCATATGGTATATACTACCCGTTGTAGTATATGGGCACCTATGGTATATACTACCTTTTGTACTACATGGTCCTTACCCTACCCATTGTATATGGGTATCTATGGTATATACTACCTGTTGTACTATATGGTCCTTATCCTACCCATTGTATATGGGTATATATGGTATGTACTGCCCATGGTAGTATATGGTCCATACACTACCCATTGTAGTATATGGACACATATGGTATATACTACTGGTTGTAGTATATGGTCCTTATCCTATGCACTGTATATGGGTAAGTATGGTATATACTGCCCATTGTAATATATGGTCTGTAGTATATGGGTTCTCAGGTGTCACCAGAGCATCCCTGCGGGGCACCCCAACACCCTAAAACTGGGCTCACTGCATTTAGGGGGCTCCTGGTAGGTGTTCACTGAGGGGGTCCCTATAATGCAGGAGAATGGGGGCTCCCACAAGGTCCCTATTGCCCCCCTGGGGTCCTTATGGGGTGTGTGGGTCCCGGCGGGTCCCCGTGGGGCTCTGACCTTCCCCCTTGAAGATGTAGCTGCGGCGCCCGCGCTGCCAGGTCATGTGCTCGAAGCCCAGGAGCGTCGTGTCCACGCGCAGGCTCTCGCCGCGCTTCCACACGCGGTACACGTCACTGGGACACACCTTGGACACCAGCGGCACTGCGGCACGCGCCGGCGCCCCATCAGTGCCACGGCACCATGGGGGTGATGGGGGTGATGGGGGTACCCCCATGGCGGCCCCTGCTCACCCCAGCTGGTGAATTCCCACTTCATCTCCACGTAGAAGTCGGATGCCTGGAAGGGATGGAGCGAGCGTTGGGGTACTGGGGGTGCCTCATGGGGTCGTTGGGGATGGGGAGGCTGCGGCAGGGGGTGGGGTCTTAGGTGGGGATCCCGGTGTTCCTGACCAGTCCAGTCTCTTCCAGTGCTCCCAGTCCTGTGTGTTCCCAGTCTCCCCTATTGTTCCCAATCCCTCCAGAGCTCCTAGTCCCCAGTGCTCCCAGTCCACCCCAATGCTCTCAGTCTCCCCTAGTGTTCCCAGTCCCTCCAGTGCTCCTAGTCCCCAGTGCTCCCAGTCCACCCCAATGCTCCCAGTCTCCCCTATTGTTCCCAGTCCCTCCAGTGCTCCTAGTCCCCAGTGCTCCCAGTCCACCCCAATGCTCCCAGTCTCCCCTTTTGTTCCCAGTCCCTCCAGTGCTCCTAGTCCCCAGTGCTCCCAGTCCACCCCAATGCTCCCAGTCTCCCCTAGTGTTCCCAGTCCCTCCAGTGCTCCCAGTACCCAGTGCCCCCAGTCTCTTCCAATGTTCCCAATCCTCTCAGTCTCCACAGTGCTTCCAGTCACCTCCAGTGATCCTGAGCATCCCAGTCTCCCCTGGTGCTCCCAGACTCTTCCAATGCTCCCAGTCCTCTCAGTCTCCCCTAGTGTTCCCAGTCCCTCCAGTGTTCCTAGTCCCCAGTGCTCCCAGTCCACCCCAATGCTCCCAGTCTCCACTAGTGTTCCCAATCCCTTCAGTGCTCCTAGTCCCCAGTGCTCCCAGTGCACCCCAGTGCTCACAGTCTCCCCTAGTGTTCCCAGTCCCTCCAGTGCTCCCAGTCCCCAGTGCCCCCAGTCTCTTCCAATGCTCCCAGTCCTCCCAGTCTCCCCTATTGTTCCCAGTCCCTCCAGTGCTCCTAGTTCCCAGTGCTCCCAGTCCAACCCAATGCTCCCAGTCTCCCCTAGTGTTCCCAGTCCCTCCAGTGCTCCCAGTCTCTTCCAATGTTCCCAGTCCTCCCAGTCTCCCCTAGTGTTCCCAGTCCCTCCAGTGCTCCCAGTCCCCAGTGCCCCCAGTCTCTTCCAATGCTCCCAGTCCTCCCAGTCTCCCCTATTGTTCCCAGTCCCTCCAGTGCTCCTAGTCCCCAGTGCTCCCAGTCGACCCCAATGCTCCCAGTCTCCCCTAGTGTTCCCAGTCCCTCCAGTGCTCCTAGACCCCAGTGCCCCCAGTCTCTTCCAATGCTCCCAGTGCTCCCAGTCTCCCCTAGTGTTCCCAGTCCCCCCAGTGCTCCCAGTACCCAGTGCCCCCAGTCTCATCCAATGCTTCCAGTCCAACCGAGTGCTCCCAGTCTCTCCTAGTGTTCCCAGTCCCTCCAGTGCTCCCAGTCCCCAGTGCCCCCAGTCTCTTCCAATGCTCCCACTCCTCCCACCCCATCCCAGTGCTCCAAACCCCCCCAGCTCATCCCAGTGCTCCCCGCAGAGAGCCGGGATTAACCCGGGGCTCCCTGTGCCAGCAGCAGGACCAGGGGTACCCCCCCCCCCCGTTGCTCACCCTCCTCAGCTTGCTGAGCAGCTCGGGGATGCCGGCCAGGCGCCGCGTCGCCCGCTGGTAGTCCCGGTACTGCAGCACGAGCTGCACCATCTCGGGGTCCCCGGTGCTCACGGCCTCCTGCAGCACTGGGGGGGGCACAAGCAGAGGGATGGGGTCAAGGATGGGGATACCCCCCCCCCCCCACCCGCATCCCTCCCAGCATCCCCCCGCAGAGGGATGGGGTCAAGGATGGGGATCCCCCCCCCCCCCCACCCGCATCCCTCCCAGCATCCCCCCGCAGAGGGATGGGGTCAAGGATGGGGATCCCCCCCCCCCACACCTGCATCCCTCCCAGCATCCCCCCGCAGAGTGATGGGGTCAGGGATGGGGATCCCCCTCCCCCCCCACCTGCATCCCTCCCAGCATCCCCCCGCAGAGGGATGGGGTCAGGGATGGGGATACCCCCCCCCACACCCGCATCCCTCCCAGCATCATCCCTCCCAGCATCCCCCCGCAGAGGGAGTGGGGGATGGGGACCCCCCCCCCACCCGCATCCCTCCCAGCATCCCCCCGCAGAGTGATGGGGTCAGGGATGGGGATACCCCCCCCCCCCACCCGCATCCCTCCCAGCATCCCCCCGCAGAGGGATGGGGTCAGGGATGGGGATCCCCCCCCCCCCACCCGCATCCCTCCCCCCGCAGAGGGATGGGTCAGGGATGGGGATCCCCCCCCAACCCCCCCCCCGGGATCCCCCCCCCGGTACCGGTCCAGCCGCCGGCGTTCTCCCGGCCCACGTTGGCGTTGTGCCGCAGCAGCACCCGCACCGACTCCAGGTGCCCCAGCGCCACCGCCAGCTCCAGCGGCGTCCGGCCCCGCGGGTCCGGCAGCTCCACATCGTGCTGGGGACGGGAGCGGGAGCCGTGTCCCCAACCCGGGTCACACAATCCGGTATCACCCATCCCGGTACCACCCATCCCAGTATCGCCCATCCCAGTATCACCCATCCCGGTATCACCCATCCCAGTATCATCCATCCCGGTACCACCCATCCCAGTATCACCCATCCCCGTATCACCCATCCCAGTATCACCCATCCCGGTATCACCCATCCCGGTATCACCCATCCCGGTATCACCCATCCCGGTATCACCCATCCCGGTATCACCCATCCCGGTATCACCCATCCCGGTATCACCCATCCCAGTATCACCCATCCCGGTATCACCCATCCCAGTATCACCCATCCCGGTATCACCCATCCCGGTATCACCCATCCCAGTATCACCCATCCCAGTATCACCCAACCTGGGTCACCCATCCCAGTATCACCCAACCCGGTATCACCCATCCCAGTATCACCCATCCCGGTATCACCCATCCCAGTATCACCCATCCCAGTATCACCCATCCCGGTATCACCCATCCCAGGTCACCCATCCCGGTATCACCCATCCCAGGTCACCCATTCCAGTATCACCCATCCCAGTATCACCCATCCTGGTATCACCCATCCCGGTATCACCCATCCCGGTATCACCCATCCTGCTATCACCCATCCCAGTATCACCCATCCCAGTATCACCCATCCCGGTATCACCCATCCCAGTATCACCCATCCTGCTATCACCCATCCCAGTATCACCCATGTCCCCATCCCATGGCCCCCCCATCACCAGTACCGTGTCTCCCATGTCCCCATCCCATGGTTCTCCTGTCATCAGTACCAGTATCTCCCATGTCCCCATCCCTGCATCACCTGTGTCACCATTCCTGCAGCACCCATGTCTCCATCCCACATCTCCCATGTCCCCAGCACCCATGTCCCCATCCTGTGTCATCCTTTTCCCAATCCCATGGCACCCATGTCCTCAGTCCCCATTCCCACATCACCCATGGACCCATCCTGCAGCACCCATGGACCCATCCTGCATCACCCATGTCCCCATCCCGTGTCACCCGTGTCCCCATTCCCACATCACCCGTGGACCCATCCTGCAGCACCCATGTCTCCATCCCACATCTCCCATGTCCCCAGCACCCATGTCCCCATCCTGTGTCATCCTTTTCCCAATCCCATGGCACCCATGTCCTCAGTCCCCATTCCCACATCACCCATGGACCCATCCTGCATCATCCATGGACCCATCCTGCATCACCCATGGACCCATCCTGCATCACCCATGGACCCATCCTGCATCATCCATGGACCCATCCCACATCACCCATGGACCCATCCTGCATCACCCATGGACCCATCCCGCATCACCCATGGACCCATCCTGCATCACCCATGGACCCATCCTGCATCACCCATGGACCCATCCTGCATCACCCATGGACCCATCCCACATCTCCCATGTCCCCAGCACCCATGTCCCCATCCCTGCGGCACCCATGTCCCCATCCCGTGTCACCCGTGTCCCCATTCCATGTCACCTGTGTCCCCATTCCATGTCTCTATCCCATGTCCCCCATGTCCCCCTCCCACATCACCCATGTCCCCATCCCGTGTCCCCATCCTGCATCACCCGGGTCCCCATCCCAAGGCACCCATGACCCCAGGCCCACATCCCAACGTGATCAAGACCCAGTGTCCCCCCACTCCCAGCTCCCCTCCATCTCCAGTGCTCCCAGTTCCCTGCCCCAACCCTCAGTGCTCCCAGTACCGCAGAGCCCCCAGTCTCTCTCTACCTCCAGAGCTCCTAACCCAGTATCCTAACCCCAGTGCTCCCAGTTGCTTTCAGCCCCCTGGCACTGCCATCCCCTAGGATCCCAGTCCTCCCAGTCCCACCCGGTATTCCAGATCCTCCCAGCATCCCCTTACTGCCCCTGGTTCCCCCAGTACCCCCAGTCCCTCCAGTGCTCCCAGTCCTCTCAGTCTCCCCCAGTCCTCCCAATCTTCCCAGTACATCCAATGCTCCCAGTGCCCCCCAGTCCTCCCAGTGCCCCCTGTCCCCCTTGCCTGCAGCTCCCCCAGTCCTCCCAGCTCCCTGTAATGCTCCTGGTCCACCCCAGTGCCCCCAGTCCCCTGCACCCGCAGCATTCCCAGTCCCCTGTAATGCTCCAGTTCTCCCAGTGCCCCCAGTCCCCTGTGCCCGCAGCTCCCCCAGTCCTCCCAGTCTCTCCCAGTGCTCCGAATCCTCCCAGTACCTCCAATGCTCCCAGCTCCCCCTCCAGTCCTCCCAGTGCCCCCAGTCCCCTGCACCCGCAGCTCCCCCAGTCCCCTCAGTTCCTTGCAGTGCTCCCAGTCCCCTGCACCCGCAGCATTCCCAGTCCCGTGTAATGCTCCCAGTGCTCCCAGTCCTCCCAGTCCCCTGCACCCGCAGCTCCCCCAGTCCCCTCAGTTCCTTGCAGTGCTCCCAGTCCTCCCAGTGCCCCCAGTTCCCTGCACCCACAGCTTCCCCAGTCCCCTGTAATGCTCTCAGTCCTCCCAGTGCCCCCAGTCCCCTGCACCCGCAGCTCCCCCAGTCCCCCCAGTCCCTTGCAGTGCTCCCAGTCCTCCCAGTGCTCCCAGTCCCCTGCACCCGCAGCATTCCCAGTTCCCTGTAATGCTCCCGGTCCCCCCCAGTGTTCCCAGTCCCCTGCACCCGCAGCATTCCCAGTTCCCTCTAATACTCCCAGTCCTCCCAGTGCTCCCAGTCCCCTGCACCCGCAGCTCCCCCAGTCCCTGTAATGCTCCCAGTCCTCCCAGTGCCCCCAGTCCCCTGCACCCGCATCATTCCCAGTTCCCTGTAATGTTCCCAGTCCTCCCAGTGCCCCCAGTCCCCTGCACCCGCAGCATTCCCAGTTCCCTGTAATGCTCCCAGTCCTCCCAGTGCCCCCAGTCCCCTGCACCCGCAGCATTCCCAGTCCCTGTAATGCTCCCAGTCCTCCCAGTGCCCCCAGTCCCCTGCACCCGCAGCTCCCCCAGTCCCCCCAGTCCCTTGCAGTGCTCCCAGTCCTCCCAGTGCTCCCAGTCCCCTGCACCCGCAGCATTCCCAGTGCCTGTAATGCTCCCAGTCCTCCCAGTGCCCCCAGTCCCCTCCGCCCGCATCATTCCCAGTTCCCTGTAATGCTCCCAGTCCTCCCAGTGCCCCCAGTCCCCTGCACCCGCAGCATTCCCAGTTCCCTGTAATGCTCCCAGTGCCCTGCAGTGCTCCCAGTCCCTGCACCCACAGCATTCCCAGTTCCCTCTAATACTCCCAGTGCCCTCCAGTGCCCCCAGTCCCCTCCGCCCGCAGCCTCCCCAGTGCCCGCAGTCCCCGGTAGCGCTCCCGGTCCCTCCAGCTCCCGCAGTTCCCCGTTGTGCCCAATCCCCCCCTCCCCTCCTCCATCCCCTCCCTCGGTGGGGGGGGGGGCTCGGTCCCGGTGCGGGTGCGGGCGCGGGCGCGGGCCGGGTCCCACCGTGCCGGAGCGGAGGGCGCTGTCCAGCGCCTGGTGCCGGTTGTGCCAGACGAGGCGGTGCAGCGGGAACGTGTGCGCGGCTCCCGCCATCCCCGCACCATGTCCCCGGGCGGACGGGGCCGCAGCGCCGGGGCCTGCCCGCAATGGCTGCGCGCGGGGGCGGCGGCGGCGGCGGCAGCGCAACAGCGGCGGCGCGGGGCGGGGCCGGCACCGGGCACCAGGGGCGAGGGGCACCGGAACCGGCACCGGGGGGGGGGGGGAACGGCGGCGGGAACCGGGAAGAGGAGACAGGAACCGGAACTGGTAACGGGGAACGGGGACAGGAACCGGTAACGGGGAACGAGAACTGGAACCAGCACCGGGGGTAACGGGGACAGGAACCGGCAGCGGGGGGTAATGGGGACAGGAACCGGCACCGGGGTTAATGGGGACAGGAACCGGCAACGGGGGTAATAGGGACCGGCACCGGGGGGTTATGGGGACAGGAACCGGCACTGGGTGTAACGGGGACCGGAACCGGTAACGGGGGTAATGGGGACCGGAACCGGTAACGGGGGTAATGGGGACAGGAACCGGTAACGGGGGGTAACGGGGACAGGAACCGGTAACGGGGGTAATGGGGACAGGAACCGGTAACGGGGGTAATGGGGACAGGAACCGGTAACGGGGGTCATAGGGACAGGAACAAGCACCGGGTTAATGGGGACCGGAACCGGCAACGGGGAACGAGAACTGGAACCAGCACCGGGGGTAACGGGGACAGGAGCCGGCAGCGGGGGTAATGGGGACAGGAACCGGCACTGGGGTTAATAGGGACCGGCACTGGGGATAACGGTGACCGGGACCGGCAACGGTGACCGAGAACTGGAACCGGCAGCGGGGAATGGGGACAAGAACAAGCACCGGGGGTAACGGGGACCGGCACCGGGGGTAATGGGGACAGGAACCGGCACCAGGGGTAACAGTGACTGGAACCGGCACCGGGGCAACAGGGAACTGGCACCAGTGTCAGGAGGTGGCACCGGCTCCCGGGGGGAAGCCATCTCCCAGTCCCTGTCCCAGTGTCACCAGTCCCTCAGTGCTCCCGGGCTCTCCGGTCTTCCTGTACCTCCAGTGCGGTTACCTCAGAACCCCGATCCCGGTGCTCCCAAAGATGGCAACCGGGGTCGGACACCAAGGGGCACCGCGGACAACGGCAACGGGCACGGGGGGTGTGGGGCAACAGCAACCGGCACCGGACCCCGGCAGTAACGGCGGTGCCTCGGGCACCGGGTCCCTCCTTGCCCCGGCCCGGGCTGCTCCAGGGGCCCAGCACCCTCCCCAGTGTTTCCCACTGCGATCCCTGTGCGGTCCCGGAGATCCCCTCCCCTTTCCTGCCTTAAACCTCAGCCCCGGGGCAGCGACCGGGACCTCCCAGGTGTGCTCCCATCCCCATCCCCATCCCCATCCCATCCCCATCCCATCCCCATCCTCATCCCCATCCCCATCCCCATCCCCATCCCATCCCATCCCCATCCCCATCCCCATCCCCATCCCCATCCCCATCCCCATCCCATCCCATCCCCATCCCCATCCCCATCCCCATCCCCATCCCATCCCCATCCCATCCCCATCCTAATCCCCATCCCCATCCCCATCCCATCCCAATCCCCATCCCCATCCCATCCCCATCCTCATCCCCATCCCCATCCCCATCCCCATCTCCATCCCCATCCCCATCCCCATCCCCACCCCATCCCATCCCCATCCCCATCCCATCCCCATCCCCATCCCCATCCCATCCCCATCCCATCCCATCCCATCCCATCCCATCCCATCCCATCCCATCCCATCCCATCCCCATCCCCATCCCATCCCCATCCCATCCCCATCCCCATCCCATCCCCATCCCCATCCCATCCCCATCCCATCCCCATCCCATCCCCATCCCCATCCCATCCCCATCCCCATCCCATCCCCATCCCCTCCCCATCCCCACCCCATCCCATCCCCATCCCCATCCCCATCCCCATCCCATCCCATCCCCATCCCCATCCCCATCCCATCCCATCCCCATCCCCATCCCCATCCCCATCCCCATCCCCATCCCATCCCCACCTCCCCCTCGAGCTGTTTTGCTCCATCCCTTAGCAACGGCACAACCCCATCATCAGACACCGGAGAGTCCCCGCGCCGCAGGAATGCCGGGACGCCGGCTGGGAGCTGCCTGCGGGCTGGGTGCAGGCAGGGAACAGGACGGGTGCGGGCAGGAGAGGTGCTGCCTGTACATCCCCACAGCAGGATCAAGCCACAGAACCCCGAGCCCAAAACCTGCACCCCAAAGCAGGGGGCACAGGGGATCCCCCCGTCCCCCCCATTCCACGGAGCCACACGAAGTTTTTCCACATTTTTACTATAAAACCTCTGTTTTTTGGCATTCTCACGTCTCTGCTCATTAAAACCTCACTCAGCAACAGCCCCGGCCCTGCCTGGTGCCACCCCCCCCCCCAAACCCGGTGTCACCCCTGAAGCACAGCAACCGGGGACCGCAGTGCAGCCCCAGCAGCTCCCCTCTCCTTTTCCTCAGCCCCTGTGCCCCCCAGCTTAGGGGGATACTGGAGGTGCTCCCCCCCCTTACCCAAGGGGGTGGCAGGGGCAGAGCCGGGGGGGCACGGGGGACCCGTGGCACCGTTATTTACAGGGGTCCCCCTGGGGCACACTCACACCTTCACTCACTCACACCAAGGACTCGGCCCCCACAACACAAGGGGCAAAGGTGACGATGGGATGGGGAGGGATGAGCTGACCGGGTCCCTGCCCGGCCGGCGCTGGGCCCCCGCTCGCCCCATTTTGGCACACACGGAGCGGGGCCACGGGGGGTGCCTTCATCTGAGCCGGAGGGATTGGGGGGTGCTGGAGCGCGTCCCCCCCCAGTGCCAGCGCCGCAGCCGTGTCCCCTCCGATGGAGACCGGCACCGGGCATCCTCCGGGAGCCATGGGCACAGGGGAACCCAACCCAATAAATAAGAGGAGGGACGGGGCAGGGGGGGCGCAGGCAGCGGTCAGAGCCCGTTGCTGGAGCGCTGGATGAAGGGCACTTTGCTGAGCTCCACCACGGGCGAGCGGGGCTTGTTCTGCATCCGTGGTACCCGCTGCAGGAGCTGCTGCGCCTGGCGCTGGGCATCCCGCAGCTCCTTCCGCCACTGCACCAGCTCGGGGTCGCTCTGTGCAGGGCAGGGTGGGGGTCACCCCAAGAGTGCAATGGAGGGGTGAACATGCAGGGGTGGTTGGGTGGCAAGGGTTGGGTAGCACCCAAAGGAGATGGGGAGATAGGATGCTGCTGGCCCCAGGGGAGGGGTGATGCAGGGCACACTCACATCGCACTGCAGCACAAACTGCTTCCCCCCGCGGATGCGGAGCAGGATGCACTTGCGCTCCTTCACCTGCGTCTCCTCCACCGAGTCGATCTCCTCCATGGTGAGCAGGGACTGCTGGGGGGGACAGGCTCAGCCTGGTCCGTGCCTCACTGCGGTGCCCCCATCCGCACCCCATTCCCAGCACCCATGGGTGCTCGCCCGCCTTACCGGTGACTCGCCCTCCCCGCGCCACTCGAGGCGGTTGGGGAAGAGGTAGAAGTAGCGGCGTTGCCACTGCGTCAGGAAGGGGTTGCCCAGCTTGGCCATGTACCCGTGCATGATGCAGTCCTTGCCCATGGCGTACTCTGTGCCCGGTGCACCGGGGGGAGGCAGGGTCAGTGTTGGGGGCTGTTGTAGGCCCATATACACACACACATTGGGAGGGGGGGGTCACCCGGCCCCACTCACCCTCCTCATGGCCCAACTGCTTGTTCTTGGCCTTCTTGCGCGCCTCCAGCTTGTCGGTGTCGGCGTTGACGGCCTCGAACACGGTCTCCGTCACCTCCTGCTGCCAGCGCTCCGAGATGGTGAGCGGGAAGTTGCGGTACAGCTCCTGGTCGCTCTCCAGGAGCTGCAGGGGACGGGCAGGAGGCTGGGTCAGGAACCCGCTCTTCAGCTCAGCACGGGCCCCGCTCATCCCCTCCGTCCCCTTTACCTTGATGCCTTTGGTGTCCTCCTCGTCGAAGGAGCCGATGTCGAAGGCATCGGCCGCGTTCACCTCGCCGCGGGGTGGGATGAGGGGGGGTGGGTACTGCAGGCAGGGAGCGGGGTTCAGAGGGTGCTGCCTGCGCCCCGCAGCCCTTCCTGCAGCCCCGCAGCCCTCACCTTCTGCAGGAAGACCATCTGCCAGTCCAGCCCCTTGAAGAAGGGCTCCTCCTTCACCTCCTGAGCCCTGCGGAGCGAGGGGGGTGAGCGCTGCAGGCTCCTGCCCTGCCTGGCCGCCCCAGCCCAGCGGCACTCACCCGCGGCCCATGCAGCCCAGGCGCCGGTTCACGTCCCGCTGCAGCAGCCCCTCGAGCAGGGAACGGAGCTCCGGGGAGAAGGACTCGGGCAGCTCCACAGCCTGGGGGACGGGACAGGGTCAGGGGAGCACCAAGGCACAACGGGGACAGGGATGCTCTATGGGCACGGGGACGTGGCCCCGCTCACCATGGTGAGGGTCATGCGGTCGATCTCATGCTTGTCCTTGGTCTTGTGCTGCCGAAAGGGGCTGTGGCTATGGGGGGGAGAAGGGGCTCAGTGGTGCCCATCCGCACCCCGCAGTGCCCGGCAGTGCCTGCACTCACCCCCGCAGCAGCTTGAAGAGCATGCAGCCCAGTGAGAACCAGTCGGCGCTGCTGTCGTACGCCACTCCTTTCTGCAGCACCTCCGGAGCCATGTACCCATGCGTGCCCCTGCAGGGCACAGAGCGGGCTCAGGGGCTGGGCCAGGCCGGGGGGGTTTTGGGGTTCGGGGGTGCAGGCACACTCACACACTGGCGTGAGGCTTCTTCTTGGAGAAGTCACAGGCCAGGCCCAGGTCTGAGATGCGGACGTGCCCAAACTCGTCCAGGAGGATGTTTGCCGGCTGCCAAGACATGGGGTGATCCTTGAGGCCGAGCGCTGCCAGCAGGGCTGCCCCATGGGGTGCTCTGGGGGGTTTGGGGGTGTCCACAGCACTGAGGGGCCTGTGGGACTGGGAGTGTCTCAGGGTGCCTCAAGGAGTTTGGGGGGGGGTCCTGCAGGGTCATGGGTGCCCTCTGGGTTTGAGGGGTGCTCTGTGGGGTTTGGGGGTGTCCACAGCACTGAGGGTCCATGGGGACTGGGAAGTGTCTCAGGGTGCCCCAAGGAGTTTGGGGGGGGTCCTGCGGGGTCATGGGTGCCCTCTGGGTTTGAGGGGTGCTCTGTGGGGTTTGGGGGTGTCCACAGCACTGAGGGGCCTGTGGGACTGGGAAGTGTCTCAGGGTGTCCCAAGGAGTTTGGGGGGGGGGTTCCTGCAGGGTCATGGGTGCCCTCTGGGTTTGAGGGGTGCTCTGTGGGGTTTGGGGGTGTCCACAGCACTGAGGGGCCTGTGGGACTGGGAAGTGTCTCAGGGTGCCCCAAGGAGTTTGGGGGGGGGGGTCCTGCAGGGTCATGGGTGCCCTCTGGGTTTGAGGGGTGCTCTGTGGGGTTTGGGGGTGTCCACAGCACTGAGGGGCCTGTGGGACTGGGAAGTGTCTCAGGGTGCCCCAAGGAGTTTGGGGGGGGGGGGTCCTGCAGGGTCATGGGTGCCCTCTGGGTTTGGGGGGTGCCCCAGGGTGTGTGGATGCCAGTGACACCCATAGGGGTGCGGTGAGTGCGGGGTGGTCACCTTGAGGTCTCGGTACACCACGAAGCGGCTGTGCATGTGCTCCAGGCCCAGGATGATCTCCGCCGCGTAGAACCGCATCTCTGCCTCCGAGAAGACTCCGTGCTGGGACAGGTGATAATGCAGGTCCCCCCCTGGGACAAGAGGGACCAGCTCTCACCCTGGCACCGCTCGCTGCGTGCACAAGGGGTCCATGGGGACCGCGGCTCCTCACCATTCATGAGGTCGAGGATGAAGCTGAGCTTGTCGGGTGTGTGGAAGGCGTAGGACATGCACACGATGAAGGGGCAGTCCTGGCAGGAGAGGCAGGGTCAGGCAGTGCTATGGGGACACCATCCCCTCGGTGTCCCCCTCCCCACGGCCCCGTGTGCCCTCACCCCGGTGCTGACGAGGGACAACATGATGCGCTCGTTGAGGGCCAGGGTCTCGCCCTGCTTCATCTTGATGCGCTTCTTGTCCAAGCACTTCATGGCGTACCTGGGGGCAGAGAGTCCCTGCAGGGCCCTGCCTCGGTGCCACCATCACCGCATCCAGCTCCCACCCACGGCCATGACGTTGTCCCTGGGTCCCCCAGAGCCCCGTAGCCATGGCAATACATCCGCAAGCCCCTAACATCTGTTGTCATGGCAACACGGCTGCAGATGCCCTGGGGACCACCACCACAGCCCCAGTGTAACCCCTCCAAATCCCCCCATCCCCTTTATGGATCCCTATGGAGCATCCCCCTGCCCCAGTTACATTTTGCCTGTATCCGCTTTCCGGCAGCCGTAGACCTCCCCGAATCCCCCACGGCCGATGATGCGGTGCACACTGAAGTCGTTCATGGTGAGCTGGAGGTGGGGAAGGAGGAGATGGGGGTGAGCATGGACACTGGGGTGCCCTGCATTGAGAGCCGGGTGTGCTCATGGTGATGCATGGACACTGGGGTGCCCTGCATTGAGAGCCGGGTGTGCTCATGGTGATGCATGGACACTGGGGTGCCCTGCATTGAGAGCCGGGTGTGCTCATGGTGATGCATGGACACTGGGGTGCCCTGCATTGAGAGCCGGGTGTGCTCATGGTGATGCATGGACACTGGGGTGCCCTGCATTGAGAGCCGGGTGTGCTCATGGTGATGCATGGACACTGGGGTGCCCTGCATTGAGAGCCGGGTGTGCTCATGGTGATGCATGGACACTGGGGTGCCCTGCATTGAGAGCCGGGTGTGCTCATGGTGATGCATGGACACTGGGGTGCCCTGCATTGAGAGCCGGGTGTGCTCATGGTGATGCATGGACACTGGGGTGCCCTGCATTGAGAGCTGGGTGTGCTCATGGTGATGCATGGACACTGGGGTGCTGCATTGAGAGCCGGGTGTGCTCATGGTGATGCATGGACACTGGGGTGCCCTGCATTGAGAGCTGGGTGTGCTCATGGTGATGCATGGACACTGGGGTGCCCTGCATTGAGAGCTGGGTGTGCTCATGGTGATGCATGGACACTGGGGTGCCCTGCATTGAGAGCCGGGTGTGCTCATGGTGATGCTGCCTCACACCCTGCCTCAGCATCCCCGGGTGAGGACATGGGGGCACAAGGGGAAGAGCCCAAGGGCCCTGCTCACATGGATGTTCAGCTCCACGTTCTTCCACTGGCAGAACCGCGTGAATTTGTCACTGCAAGGAAGCACAGAGAGGGCAGGAGTGGAGACCCCACCCCGAGCCCCATCCTGGGGGCAGGCAGCACCCATTGGGACCCCTGTGTGGGGACAGAGGGACCCATGGGGATGAGAAGGGTCTAGGGACAGACACCCCCAAGCTCAACCTAACGAGGGCCCCATGGTTGCTCTCTGGTCCAGGACAGGGGGATGGGACACCCGGATCCATGCGGGAATTCCCTCCTCTCACCTCTCAATGAACTTCTGGAAGATGCCTCCCCGCAGGTTCTGGCAGATCTCCTCAATGTAAGGCTGGGGGGGGGATGCAGGGCTCAGTGATGGGTGCTCGGGGACACCCAGGGCACCCCTGTACCCCTCAGCTCCCATCATTACATGAGGTCTCCTCCTCTCCGTAGATGGCACACATCCCCTGGGCTCCCCAGTCACCCCAGGTCACCTTTAGGTCCAGGGTCCCAGTCAGCATCCTCTGAGCATCCCCCCCAACCCCTTCACTCCCAATCTACTGGGGACCCCCCCATCACCCCCATCCCCCTGTAAGGGGTGACCCCTGGGTACCAGAGGTGTCAGGGCCCCCCGGGTGATGCCCACCTGGAAGAGGTCCGGGGGTACCTGCTTCTTGCTCAGGCGGCTCTGGACGTGCTCCGTGGCGCTCTTGGAGAAGGGCTATGGGGTGAGATGGGGCCCTGGCACCCCGGGCTCATGGGCACAGGGGTAACAGCCCCCAAGGGCTGTGCAAGGAAGGGAACCCATGGAGGAGCCCCCATCCATGGGGGTCTGTGTCTCCCAGCACGCTCAGGGGTGGGTTGGGAGCTCCATGTGAACACACTGGGTACCAGGCCCATGGGTGCATCCCTCCCAGTTGCTCTGGGGACACCCCCAATGGTGCCTCACCCCTCAATCCCAGCACTCACATGGGAGCAGGCCAGCAGCTCCTTCATGATGTAATGGTCGAAGATGTGGCGGCTCCGGGTGCTCCGCTCCTCCTCCGAGTCCAGCTTCTCGTACTTCTTGATCTGGCAAAGGCCCAGCTCCCGTGGCACCGGGGCACAGCCCAGGGGACCATGGCCCCAGCCCCTCTGGGTACCACATCCCCTGGGCACCCAGAGCATCACCTCCCGGCCCCTCTGGGTACCACATCCCCTGGGCATCCAGAGCATCACCTCCCGGCCCCTCTGGGTACCACGTTCCATGGGCACCTCATGGTTATCACATCCCCTGAGCACCCAGAGCATCACCTCCCGGCCCCTCTGGGTACCACATCCCCTGGGCACCCAGAGCATCACCTCCCGGCCCCTCTGGGTACCACATCCCCTGGGCACCCAGAGCATCACCTCCCGGCCCCTCTGGGTACCACATCCCCTGGGCACCCAGAGCATCACCTCCCGGCCCCTCTGGGTACCACATCCCCTGGGCACCCAGAGCATCACCTCCCAGCCCCTCTGGGTACCACATCCCCTGGGCATCCAGAGCATCACCTCCCAGCCCCTCTGGGTACCACATTCCATGGGCACCTCATGGTTATCACATCCCCTGGGCACCCAGAGCATCACCTCCCGGCCCCTCTGGGCATCCCTTGGGTACCCTGCATGCTCTCGGTACCATGGCAGTGCACCCCATAGGTACCAGATGCCACCCCAAACCCTCCGTGTGAAGATGGGGTCCATCGGGATGGGTCCCCCCCATCTCACCTCCTCATAAAACTCCATCAGGGGTTTGGCCTCCTCTGCCTGGTTAAAGGCAAAGTCCCGGAAGAGCAGGTACCCTGGCAGGGACAGAGACGTGTGTGAGAGCTGCCTGCCCCACAGCGGCCCTGTGTGCCCCACAGCACAGGCCAAGGGGTACAGGGATGCCCCCTGGCCATGAAAGTCCCCGAAGCCACCCCCACGGCAGGCTTGGGGCAGTGCCAAGGAGGGAACCAGAGACAATGACACCAGTGGGCACAGGGTGCTATAGGTCGCTGTGGGGCAGGGGTGTGGTAGAGGCACTGATGCAGTGGGGTCATACTGGGGCAGGGGCACATGGGTGCAGCATGGCTGTAGTGCGGCAGGGGCACAGGGGTGCAGTGGGACAGGGCTGCAGTGTGGTTGCAGTGGGGCAGGGGAACAGGCACAGGGGTGCAGTGTGGCTGCAGTGTAGCAGGGGCACAGGGGTGCAGTGTGGTTGCAGTGGGGCTGGGGCACAGGGCTGCAGTGTGGCAGGGGTAGCAGTGTGGCACGGTTGCAGTGGGGCAGGGTTGCAGTGTGGCTGCAGGGGGGCAGGGTTGCAGTGTGGCTGCAGTGTGAGAGGGTTGCAGTGGGGCAGGGCTGCAGTGTGGCTGCAGTGTGACACGGTTGCAGTGTGGCTGCAGTGGGGCAGGGTTGCAGTGTGGCTGCAGTGGGGCAGGGCTGCAGTGTGGCTGCAGTGGGGCAGGGTTGCAGTGTGGCTGCAGTGCGGCAGGGTTGCAGTGTGGCTGCAGTGGGACAGGGCTGCAGTGTGGCTGCAGTGGGGCAGGGTTGCAGTGTGGCTGCAGTGGGGCGGGGTTGCAGTGTGGCTGCAGTGGGGCGGGGTTGCAGTGGGGCTGCAGTGGGGCGGGGCTGCAGTGTGGCTGCAGTGGGGCAGGGTTGCAGTGTGGCTGCAGTGGGACAGGGTTGCAGTGTGGCTGCAGTGGGGCAGGGGCTGCAGTGTGGCTGCAGTGGGGCAAGGCTGCAGTGTGGCTGCAGTGGGGCAGGGGCACTGTGGCTGCAGTGGGGCAGGGTTGCAGTGTGGCTGCAGTGGGGCAGGGGTTGCAGTGTGGCTGCAGTGGGGCAGGGTTGCAGTGGGGCTGCACTGTGGCTGCAGTGGGGCAGGGCTGCAGTGTGGCTGCAGTGGGGCAGGGGCACTGTGGCTGCCATGGGGCAGACGTGCCCGGAAACCGCCGGAGCCAGCGGGAGGAAGCGAGAGGCGCTTCCTGCCCCACACGGTTTGCACTGGGGAAGTGACAGGGTAGGGGGGGGAGCTGTGTCACGTAGCCCCTCGCCTCCCCCAGGCCCTGCCAGGGGGCAGAAACCACGGCCACTGTCATCGGTGCCACCGACCCAGTGCTCCCAGTGCCTCCCAGTGCCCCCCAGTGCCTCCCAGTGCCCCCCAGTCCCCACTCACCGATCTTCTGTGTGAAGATCTTGTCGAACGTCAGCTCCCCCCGGTCCTCCAGGTACTTCTGCATCACGCTGCGGATGCTGGGGGGGGGCACCGGAGGGGATCAGCACCCCCAAACACCCCCCCATGCACCCGCCCTGCCCCTCCTCTCCCACGTCCCCATCGGGCACCCTCCCCTCCGGTGGTTGTGCCCCATGGCACCGGGCTCCGGTAAGGGTCAGGCACAGGCAGTGGGGTCTCAGTGGTGCCCATCGGTGCCCTGAGGCCTGGAGCAATGGGGTCTGGCAGTGGGGCTGGGTGTGCTAAGGGAAGGTGGGGTGGGAGCAACACTGTGTATGCGTGTACGTGTGTGTGTGTGTACATGTGTGTGTGTGCATGTGTGTGTGTGTGCACAGGGAGGGCAGAGCCCTTTGGTGTGTGCTGATGCGCACAGTGTGAATGAACACAGACCCAGAGCCACAGCTCCATGGGATGGGGTGGGAGGAAGGGACCTTAAAGCCCATCCAGTGCCAACCCCAAGCCCTTCCACTGGAGCAGCTTGCTCCAAGCCCCTGTGTCCAACCTGGCCTTGAGCACTGCCAGGCACACACGTGTGGACATACAGAGACACACAGGTGTGTACACATACATGTGTATGTAAATACACAGGCACACAAGTGTGTACATATACAGGCACACAAGTGTGTACATACACACACATCTGTACATACAAAGGCACACACATGTGTACATATACACATACGTATGTATATAAACAGACATGTGTGTACATATACAGGCACACATGTGTGCACATATAGAGCCACACACGTGTACATACACAGGCACACACGTGTACATACACAGACTCACGTGTGTATGTACACGCACGTGTGTACATACACAGACACGTGTGTACATACACAGACACACAGGTATGTACACATGCAGACACACGTGTACATATGCAGACACACATATGTACATATACACATGTGTGTATATACACATACAGGTGTATACATACACAGCCACTCGTGTGTATATCCACAGCCACTTGTGTGTACATCCACACACACACATGTACATCCACAGACCCATATGTGTACATCCACAGACACGTGTGTACATCCACACACACAAGTGTGTACATTCACGGACATGTGTGTACATCCACGGACACACCTGCGTACATCCACGGACACGTGTGTACATCCACACACACACACACGTGTGTACATCCACGGACACGTGTGCACATCCACACACACACGTGTGTACACACACAGCCACTCACGTGTGTGCATACACGGAGGACATGCGTGTGTACATCCACGGACACATGTGTGTACATACACAGATAAGTGTGTACATACACACACACGTGTGTACATTCACAAAAGTGTGTACATTCACAGACACACGTGTGTACATTCACAGACATGTGTGCACATACACAGACATATGTGTACATCCACACATATGTGTGTACATCCATGGACACACGTGTGTACATAAACAGACACGTGTGTACATACACAGACATGTGTGTACATCCACACGTGTGTGTACATCCACAAACACACGTGTGCACATCCACAGACACACGTGTCCACATCCGCACATACATGTGTGTACATACACAGCCACTCATGTGTGTACATACACAGAGGACAGACATGTGTACATCCACGGACATGTGTGTACATCCACACACACGTGTGTACATCCATGGACACACATGTGCACATCCACACACACACGTGTGTACACACACCGCCACTCACGTGTGCGCGCCCGCAGCCCACGTGCCCATGTATGTGCGCGCACACGCTCACAGCCACAGGGATGCCCGCGCCCAGCACAGGGGCACTCCCCTACCCCCCCCCCCCCGTGTGCCAGGGCCAACCCGCATCCATGGCGCCCGGCAGGTGCCCATGCACACACATGTACACGCGGGCACACACATGTACACACGGGCACACACACACGTGTCCACGGCGAGCCGAGGGGGTGTCCGCGCACCCCCGAGCGGGCCGGGGCAGGCCGCATGGGGGGGGGGTGTCCGGTTTCCGAGGGCCGCGGTTCCCGGTGCCGCTCTCACCTGGGCTCGGGCAGCAGGATCCTCTTGCTGGCGCGGGCGGCGGGCGCGGCGCGGCTCTTCTCCATGGCCATCAGGTAGCTCACGTCCGCCAGCACCGCCTCCAGGTCCGCCATCTTGCGCCGCGCCGCCGGACCCGCCGCCCACCACCACCAACACCACCGCTACCGGACCGGACCCGCTGCCGGACCCCGACCCGGACGGACCCGGAACCGGAACCGAGTCCCGGAACCGGAACCGGGACGCGTGGTTTTCACCCCCCCCCCCCCCCCCCGGTGGGTGCAGGCGGCAGCGGCAGCGCCGGGGCTCAGCGCTGGGGCGGGGGGGCCATGGCGGGAGCGGCGCCTCAGGGAGCGCGTGCCCGTGCGCGTGCAGCCCGCTCGCCGCGAGACCGCCCCGGGACAGGGACGGGGCGGAGCCACAGAGGGGAGCCCCGCCCACATCGCCCCGCCCCCAGGGGCGTGGCCCCGACACCGGCGGGCGAGTGTGAATGACATCATGTGACGTGTGTGACGTCATGTGACGTCTGACATCATGTGATGTGTGTGTGACATCGTGTGTATGTGACAGTGGGGGATGTGTGTGTGACATCAGGTGTGTGTGACATCATGACATGTGTGACATTGTGTGACATCATGTGACGTATCTATGGCATCGGGTGTGTGACACTGTGTGATGTGTGTGACATCATGTGTGTGTAATATCATGTGTGTAACACTGTGGCGTGTATGTGATATCGTGTGACATTATGTAACGTGTGACTGACGTGACACTGTGATGTGTATGACATTGTGTGTGACATCATGTGTTACATCATGCATGTGACATCGTATGTGACATCATGACGTGTGACACTGTGACATCATGCGTGACATCATGCGTGATGTCATGCATGCAACATTGTGTATGACATGCGACATCATGTGTGTAACATCATATGAGTGTGACATGACATCATGTGACTGTGACATCATGCAACACCATGACATGTATGACATGTGTGACATCATGTATGACATGTGACATCATGTGTGTAACATTGTATGTGTGTGACGTGTTTGTGACACCATGTGTGCGGCACTGAGTGTGTGTGACACTGGCTCTGTGTCACAATGTGTGTGACACCGTGTGTGTGACATGTTGAGTGTGACCCCATGTGTGTCCTTCTGCCTGTCACACCGTGTGTGTGTGCCCACACACGTGGCACCACGCCGCACGCACCATGTGTGCCCATGCAGTCAGTGCTCCATGCGTGACAGCCCCAGCGTCCCCATGCACGGCGCTCACCGATGCGGTACTGCTCTGGCCCCGCTCCTGGCATCTAAACCAGGAAGGAGAGGAGTAAATCCCTGTGGAGTGCTGCCGGCACGGTGTTCCCAAGGGATGGGCAACAGCCTCGTGCAGCCAGGCTCATAGGTGGGGAAGGAGGTGATGGGGACACTGGGATGGCTCCACCACCATTCCCTAAGGGATGATGGAGACATGGGGACAACTGCCACCACCATTCCGCAGACAACACGGACATTGTGATGGCTGCCACCTCCATTCCCTAAGGGATGATGGGGACACAGGGATCACTGCCACCACCACTCCCCAAGAGATGATGGAGACACAGAGATGACTGCCACCACCATTCCCTAAGGGATGATGGGGACACTGGGATCACTGCCACCTCCATTCCCCAAGAGATAACGGAGACACAGAGATGGCTCCACCACCATTCCCTAAGGGATGATGGGGACACAGGGATCACTGCCACCACAACTCCCCAACAGATAATGGAGACACAGAGATGGCTGCCACCTCCATGCCCTAAGGGATGATGGGGACACAGGGATTACTGCAATCTCCATTCCCCAAGGGATGATGGAGACACAGAGATGGCTCCACCACCATTCCCTAAGGGATGACGGGAACACAGGGACAGATGCCACCACCATTCCCTAGGAGATGATGGGGACATAGGGACAAGCACCATCACCATTCCCCAGTAATGATGGGGACATGGGGATGTCTGCCACTGACCCAACAGGGCCACATGGGTGCTATGAACCATCAGAGGATGCTCCAGGAAGTCCCTGCAAAGGGACTTCCTGGTCCACCTCCCCCATGGACCATGGGCAGAGCCGAAACGTAGGATTTGGATATTTTTCCTTACTTTTACCCATTTTCTCTTAATTTATTCCAAAAAAATCCATCCCAAGAAACAAAAGCCCCCTTCAGCGACTGGGATTTTCCTTCCCCCATCCCTGCACTCACAAGAGCAACGATCCCCTCCTAAACCCCACCACTGGAAGGGAAAATAAGGGAAAACCCAATCAAACCCCCCATTACAATGGGATCGAAACCAATCCCTGGGCTCAGGGAGTCGGAACCCCCCAAAGGTGACTGAGAGAGGGGCCAGACGTGGTTTGCTTTTTACCCTTAATGCTTACATTTAATTTTAAAGCACAAACATCAGAGATGGACTCTAAATCGCCAACAAAAAAATAGATATTTACAATATTTCTCCAAGGGGGGGGGGATGGAATAGGGGAGAAAAATTGGGAAAGGGGAGGAAGAGGAGGGTGGGAATTGAAACGAAACCAAAACACAACCAAACCCTTTAAACAATGACTTCTTCTTGCAGGGGTTGTCTTGAGGGAGCAGTCTGGGTGCTTTTTAAATCACTACGTGATTGCTTTCTTCTTTTTATATATATAATTCTCTTCTTTCTTTCTCTTCCTTATGGGTTTTCCTCCCCCTTTCGCCCGAGGAGTCTCTGCAGCCACGCGGGATGGGGGATGATGAAGGGGATATGGCCCCTCCATCCAACCCCAACCATGGCCATGGTGGAGGATGTCCCTGCGCCCACCCGGCTCCGGCCGAGCTCGATCCCAGCCTGGAATTCTTTTCTTTCTTTCTCGTTGCAAAAGAACTCAAACCAAAAACCTCAATCCAAAAGGAAAAAGAAAAGCTTGGAAGATTCCCGATGTCCTTCCCAAAGGAGGCTAAGGCAGGGCGGCCTCCGCTCGTCCTCACACCCGGAGCCCTCCGGCTTCCCCCGTGGCACAACCCTCTCCTTGCTCCTCGCATCCATCCCCCTGTATCCAGCAGCCGGGAAGCGGAGGACACGGATGGAGGCGTCTCCTTCCTCCCTTATTGCTTCTGAAGCAGTGGGGACCCCCCCCCCCTTGGCTGTTGTCCTCTGTGGGGCTGAGAGGGGGTATCAAGGGGGTGGCCGGGTTGTGCTATGGGGCCAGGCTTGGGGCCAGCAGGGTCCTGACACCAGGAGAGAGATGGGGAGCGTCCGGTCACGGTGGGGGGGGGATAAAACAGTGACCCCCCAAAACAAAACAAAAAAAAAAAGATTACAACTTTTTTTTTCCTTTTTCTTTCTTTTTCCTGTCTTTTTTTTTGTCCTTTTTTTTGTTGTTGTTGTTTGCTTGTTTTTTTTCTTTTTAAAGTGCAAAAAGCTCTCTGCTGCCCGAGAGAGAGGTTCTTTGGACCGACCATTCATTGCAAAGGAAAAACGGCAGCGAAAAGTGGGGTGAGGGGAAGGAGAGAGGACGATGCAGCGGGGACATTCGTGCCAGTTCGGTCCCAGGCCGCAGCGCCCTGGGTTAAGACAGAGCAGCCTTCACCCCCCTTCCAACCATGGCCATGGTGGCCCCTAGAGTGCTTCATGATGCTGGGCCACGTGTAGAGGAGGTGGTGAGGAAGAGGAGGCAGCTCTTTGTCCTCCCCTCATTGGTGAGCTCACTCACCCCTGGCTGATGCTTCCCGAGTCCTCCCTGAGCTCTGGTGTACCGGTAGGGTGGCCCCTGCTCCGCACCTCGGTGCTGGGCTGCACTGGGGACAGGCGGTGCTCCGGGAAGGCTGGCGCTGGCCCGGAGTGGAAGCGCGTTGTCCCCCAGCCTCGCCTCCCCGGGCAATGGGAAGAGCAGGATGCAAAGCTCCCCCCTCCCCAAGTCCTGGCCGGTGCTGTGGGGCTCCTGCCCTCGCTGTCAGAGCCACCGGGATGCAGGAGAGCGGTGGGAGAAGGAGGAGGTTGGACCCCAGCCCCTTGCAGCCGGATGAGGGGACCAGGGATGGGGCTGAGAGCGCAGGGGCAAGCGATGACCTGGTGGTGGCACGGAGGGGGACGTTTTGTTCCAGCTCTGCTCCCGCTTCTCGGAGAGACCTTGACCCTCAAGCTTTGTGCTAACGGGGAAGTGACCAAGTGTTTCAAGGCAAGGAGACAACAGGGAGGGAGGGGAAAGCTGGGGTTGGGGGGGGGGGGGAAGAGGGTGCCCCAATTCTCTGCACAGAGATCTCCGTTTAACCCTCCACCTTGGGAGCGGCCGAGGCTCCCTGCCATGTGCCCGTTCCTCCTCTGGTACTGGCCAGCCTTGGCGGGACATCTTCATGGGCTGAAGTCCCGGGGAGGAGGAGGAGGAGGAAGGACGGTGGAGCGAGGCCAGCAGCGGCCCTGCCTGCCGAGTCCGATGGGAAGCAGCGGCAGGACAGCGAGGGCAAGGATGGGGATGTGGAGGAGCGGCTCTCCGAGAGGGGTGGGATGGGCTCTGTTTCCTTCTCCTCAGTCTGCCCCGGGGAGGGTCTCTAGCTGATCTTTTGGATCAGCTTCTCGTCGGACAGGCAGTAGAGGCTGTTGATGGACAGGTCCGAGATGAAGTGCTCGCAGGCTTTGCGGGTGATCTGTTTGCAACCTCGCAGGTCAATGAGGGTGACGTTGGAGATGCGGCGCAGGTACAGCAAGGCCTGGTCCGTCAGCTTATTGCAGCCTGGAAGGAGGAGAAGAGAGGAAGAGTTGAGCTCTCATGTCAGGATGGGAGGAGGAAGCTGCTTTACCACAGCCAGGCCACCTTTGGACCAGGAAGTCTGCTGCTAACACCAAACGATATGGTGCTATCCACATTCTGGAGGGAAGGGATGGGATCCAGAAGGAGCTGGACAGGCTGGAGAGGTGGGACCATGTGAACCTCATGAAGTTCAACAAGGCCAAGTGCAAGGTCCTGCTCATGGTGTAGCTACAGGAGGGGCAGAGAAGTGATTCAGAGGAGCCCTGAGGAAGACTTGGGGGTGTTGGGTGAGGAGAAGCTCCCCCTGACCCGGCTTCAGTGTGTGCTTGAGCACAGAACCCCCACCATGTGCTGGGCTGCACCCCCAGACCGTGAGCAGCAGCTCAGGGAGGGGATCCTGCCCCTCTGCTCTGCTCTTGTGAGATCCCATTTGCAGCACTGGGTGCAGTTCTGGGTGTCCTCAGCATAAGAAGGACATGGAACTGTTGGAGCAAATCCAGATGAGGCCACAAGGACGCTCAGGGGCTGGAGCAGCTCCTGTATGGAGCCAGGATGAAAACACTGGGGCTGTTCAGCCTGGAGAAGAGAAGCTGCATGGAGAGCTCAGAGCAGCTTCCAGTATCTGAAGGGGGCTGCAAGGATGCTGGAGAGAGACTCTTCAATCAGGGACTGGAGCAACAGGACAAGGAGTGAGGGGTTCAAACTGAAACAGGGGAAGTTCAGGTTGGAGATAAGGAATTCTTCCCTGTGAGGGTGCTGAGGCGCTGGCACAGGGTGCCCAGAGAAGCTGTGGCTGCCCCATCCCTGGCAGTGCTCAAGGACACAGGGGCTTGGAGCAAGCTGCTCCAGTGGAAGGGGTTGGGGTTGAAGCTGGATGAGCTCTAAGCTCCCTTCCAACCCAAACCATTCCATGCCTGTGCCAGCCGGAGCAGGAACCCACCTGCCATGTTGAGCTCGGTGAGGGAGTTGCGCGTGGAGGAGCCCATGGCCGTGAGGAGGTTGGCCGACTGGTCCGTAAGGTGGTTGCAGTGGCTGAGGTCGAGGCGGGAGAGCAGGGGCATGTGGCGGATGATCAGCCGCAGCGTGGCGTCCGTGATGTCCAGCCCGGCGAGCCGGAAATCGATCATGTTCCGGAGCTTGCTGCGATTGTCCTGACCTGCAGAGGGAGAGGAGAGGCTGAGCAGGGCCTTACCCACCCGGCTGCGCTGGGGTATCCACATCCAGCATCACCTCCCTGCAGGTCACCCTCCTCCATTGGGACCCTCGTCATTCACCACCACCACCAGGAACAGCTTACTGGGTTTGTCTGTTGGAGGCGTGAGTAGATCCCGGATCTGAGGGTCCTTGATTCCTACTGCCCACCGAAGATCGAGGGTCCTGAGAAGGGGGCAGCTGGAGGTACTGAGAGCACAGACCGCAGACCAGGAACAGCCCGCTAAGATGAGGTCTTTCAGGCCTGACGGGACAAGGGAGAGGGAACGAGTCAGACAGGCTTGGTTAGCTCCCAGGCATCCCAGATCTCATCCCTTTGTTTGTCAAGCACAGGATAAAGCAGCTCCTCTCCCTGCCTGGAGTGGGATAGAGAGCTGGGCTCTGATAGAGAGCAGCAGGAAACCACATCGCTCCGGGCTGCTTGCTGCAGGGATGCAGGCACCTGGGTGCTCTCCAGCTGATGGAGGGTACCAGGGTGTCTCCCGCTGTGCTCTAGCCATCAGGAAGCCTGGGAACAGGCCGGTGGCAGGGACAGGGACCCCATCCCATCCCACCCTCACCTGGGAGCCTGTTGACGAGCCACGTGAGCTGCTTTTTGGAGATGTTGGTCCAGCTGAGGTCGAGGCTGACGGGCTGTCGCTTGATGATGCCGCTCAGCGCCTGCGGGGTGATGGACTTGCACCGGCTCAAATCGATCTTTGTCCACAGTCTCTTGTCACAGCACCTGGGGACAAGGGCAAGGTGAGCCCCGTGGGGCAAGAGGTGACAGCCAGCGGGGTGCCTGACTTCAGGAAGGAGAAGCCCAGCCTTGGTGTGGTCCCAGACGCAGAACAAGGCTGCTCTGCCTCGTCTCCCCAACACATGAGGAGAGTGCTGAGGGTATCCAACCATACAGGGACACCCAAAACAACCCCAGCAGGCTTTTGCTGCCGTGTAACAAGACTGGGAGTTGCAGCTCAGCCTGTTTGCCCCCTCCTGGGTGCTCCTCCTGCCACGGCAAAGACCTTAAAGCATCCTTGCTCCCAGCAGGTGAGACACTCAGCCTGGTTTCACCCCACGGCTTTGACAGTGCTTTGCTGCCGTGCCAGCAACTACAACAGAGCCTGGAGGTGGCTTCTTCTCCCATGGGAACGTGGGGAGACCTAGAAATCGATGGCAGCTCGGCTGTGAGTCTGAAGGTGCCACCCCAGTGAGGGGGGAGAGGATGCTCTCCTCCAGCCATCACACACCATTCCCACCCACTGCTGATAGAAGTGGGCTGGTCCTTTCCCATGGTGCCATTCCTGCTGCTCAGCACTTAGAAACCTCCCAGTTTCCAGGCTGTTCCCAAGCCCTCCATCCACAGCTGTCCCTGTGCCAGCATTGTCTTCTGGGCCTGCGGCCCCCCAAGGCGTTTCCAGCCAGCAAACCCAGTCCCCGCCTCAGCCAGCCCCCCCCATGCCTGCTGGGAAGCAGGGACAGGGAAGGACAAGGGCATCAGCACCTTGCAAGGGCACGGGTGCTCAGGTGACAGCACAGCCTGCCTCTGCCACCCAGCAGAGGGGACAGGAGGAAGGCAGAAGGGGACAATGGAGACCACTGCACATATGGCAGAGGCAGCAGGCTCCCAGTGCAACGCTGCCTGGGATGTGCCTGTGCCAGAGAGGAAAGGGACGGCACCGACTGGAGACCCCTTCTCCCCTTCCCATACAGCCGTGCCTGCTGGTGGGATCAGGACACGGGCTGTCCCCTCCTGACCCTCCCCGTCCCCACACTCACCACTTGTACCAGGTCTTGCACACCCGCATGCACTCGCAGAGCTCCCTGCGGGTGAGGTAGCGGAACACAGACATCCACACCTCGCGCTGCATGCAGCTCTCGTCGCCCTCCTGCCCCCGGCCCCCTCGGCCATTGAGCCGGGCCGCCCCCCCTTCCTCCGCGTTCTCGTCCTCCTCTTCCTCTTCCTCCTCCTCCTCCTCGGCGGCCGCTTCGTCCTCACCCCCGCCCCGCAGGGGCATCCTGGTGGGTGCGTGACGCATGACCACACGCGGCGAGTGCTGCAGGTTGGTGGAGGAAGCCGTGATGGCTTGCAGCTTGGGGACGATGGAAGTGCCGTGGACGTCTTTGGTGGGGCGCTGGAGGGTGACGGTGAGGTAGGAGCCGTGCAGCTTGGCCTTCTCCACCTCCGACAGCTCCTTCTTGCCGCTGGGGTTGTTCTCCTTCTCCCTCACCATGGTTCTCTCGGTGGCCTGGAGCCGCAGCAGCTGCCGCCGCTTGAAGCGCTCGTCCCTGCTGGCGCTGTGGTGGTCGCTGGGGCCGGCTCCGGGGGACGAGCGCGTCACCATGCCCCGAGGTGATGCTGGGTCGTGGATCAGCTGCAGCATCGGGGTGGGAGAGTTGGGAGGGGGGGTCAGGGGCTCCTCGCAGCTCCGCAGGGGCCGCAGCACCTTGGCTTGCGCCGTGTCGTCGTCGCTCTCCTCCACCTTCCGCTTCTGTGGGGAAGAGGGGGGGCAGCTTAGCAGGGATGGAGCCTGTGGTGGGGCTGGGGAATGAATGCGTCCCCTTCTCAAGGGCAGCATCACGGTGCTGGCAATACCACCAGGACCAGGGTCAAACCACACCAGCAACCGACGTTCTCCTCCTCCCTTCACAAAGGGGGTGTCCCCAAGGTTTAGGATGTGCCTGACAGTCCCCTGCTTCTTGCAGCAGAAGCTCTGGGGATCACAGCTCAGCACCATAAGGACAAGGGGTGCTTACTGCATCTGCATGAGGTCCTGGGGGACCCAGGAACTGGGCGGATGTGCACCCCAAGCATGCACATCACTCAGCACAAGGTGCCCCAGGGCAGCTGCTCCCTGCCTGGCTTGCCTTTGCTGCCACACTTCCATCCACAGCAGTGGACAGGGCTCTATAGTTGATGCAGCAGCCATACAGCAGTGTCCTGGGCAGTGCTGGCAGCCATCAGCTGCCACCACACAGTCACTTGCTGGCTCCAGAGGGACCCATCTGCCCCTGCTGCTTCTGCGGGGGCCTGTCCTTGGCCTGCTGATGCGCTCACTGGGAGCCAGGGACAAAGAGCTGGGGGCTATCAGCTCATCCCCCTGTGAGACCCCAGGACCAGACTGCAGCAGGAGGCTGCCAATGACCCCACTGTCACTCCCTGCTGCCCTGGACTGCAGCTGCAGCCCACCCTGGTGGAACACTGCCCATCCCCTAGCAGGATGCAGTGGGATGGAGGTCACGCTTCCTACCTGTCCCTTCTCTGAGTCGTCCCCCTGGTAGCACTTAGGGCACTCCCAGCAGTTGGGGAGCTCATCGTTGAGCAGCCCTTCGCCATCCATCTGCAAAGAGAAGGGGGCAGTGAGCACCAGGCCTTGCCCCCAGCCAGGCTCCCTCCTCCCCGGTGCCCCTGCAGCTCACCTGCAGGCAGCCAGGGTGAACGATCTCGTTGCAGATACAGCACTCCATGAGCTTCTTCTCAAAGTCCTGCGAGTCCTCGTTCTGATCCACCTCCCCACAAAGTGCACACGTGACCGAGTGAGGCAGCCTGGGCTACAAAGGAAAGCAGGGGTGAAACCAGGGCAAGGTGAGGCAGCTTTTCCCCTTTCCTCCTCCTCTTTCCCACTGAATCATGGGGAAGGAGGCAACCGTCCCCCTGGAACTGAATTTCATAGAATCACAGAATGGTTTGGGTTGGAAAGGACCTTAAGATCATCCAGTTCCAACCCCCTGCCATGGGTAGGGATGCCTCACACTAAACCATGGCACCCAAGGCTCTGTCCAACCTAGACCTGAACACTGCCAGGGATGGAGCATTCACATCTTCTTTGGGCAAAATGATCCAGGGCCTCACCACCCTCCCAGGAAAGAAATTCCTTATCTCCAATCTGAACATCCCTTGTTTCAGCCTGAACCCATCACCCCTTGCCCTATTGCTACAGCCCTTGATGAAGAGTCCCTCCCCAGCACCCCTATAGCCCCCTTCACACTGGAAGGCTGTTATAGGATCTCCATGCAGATTCTCTTCTGGGCCCAAATGTTCTCACAGCCTGTCTTCATACAGGAGATGCTCCAGCCCCTGATCATCCCCATGGCCCTCCTCTGCCCGACCCCATAGGGCTCCCAGTGGACTTGACAGCAAAGGATGACACCGCAGACTCACTGCTAAGCACTGCCGGAGGACGCAGGACTGCTTCATGCGGCCAGGGCCCCCGAACTTCTTCATGTCCCTGCAGTAGTGGCACATTCCACACTCGCCCTGCATGCAAGCCTTGCACTTCCGGCACCGCACCCGCCTCCGCCGGGCACCGGACACGATGGGAGACACCGTGGACCTGACGGGTGTGGGGCGCGGGGTTGGCTTCATGGTGTGTGGTTTGGTGATGGGGATGGTGGGCAGGCGCACCCGCAGCCGGGCCTGGAGCTTTAGCTGCCAAAGAGAAACGGAGAAGGAAGTGGTGTGAGAGAAGTGCTGCGCTCAGCTGGGAGCAGAACGCCTCTGATCCACAGCTCCCTCGGATAACGTGACAGCAGCCCCGCTCCATCACCTCTCTGCACACAAAGGAGCCTGTATCATGCTCCAGCACGCCCCAAGCCAAGAGCTCTCCTTCCTCCCACCCCCCATCAGGTGTCAGCCATGAGCCTGAAAAGGGCTCAGAAGTGGTGCTCCAGGAACAGCCGCTCCTTCCTCTGCTCCACCCAGGCAGCTGGAAAGGGGGTCCTTGATTTGTGCTGCCCAGGTCCCTCTGCAGCTGTGCAAGGGACAGGGCCCAGCTCTGATGGGAGAGCTCTGGTCATAGAATCCCAGCCTGGTTTGTGTTGAAGGGAGCTGAAAGCTCCTCCAGCTCCAACCCCTTCCACTGGAGCAGCTTGCTCCAAGCCCCTGTGTCCTTGAGCACTGCCAGGGATGGGGCAGCCACAGCTTCTCTGGGCACCCTGTGCCAGCGCCTCAGCACCCTCACAGGGAAGAGCTTCTGCCTAAGAGCTCAGCTCAGTCTCCCCTCGGGCAGGTTCAAGCCATTCCCCTTGGCCTGTCCCTACAGGCCCTTGTCCCAAGCCCCTCTCCAGGTTCCCTGCAGCCCCTTTAGGCACTGGAGCTGCTCTAAGGTCTCCCCTTCAGGAGCCTTCTCTTGTCCAGGCTGCCCCAGCCCAGCTCTCTCAGCCTGGCTCCAGAGCAGAGCTGCTCCAGCCCTCACAGCATCTCCATGGCCTCCTCTGGCCTCCCTCCATCAGCTCCAGGTCCCTCTTGTGCTGCTGCCCCAGAGCTGGATCAGGACTGCAGGGGGGGTCTGCCCAGAGCACAGCAGAGGGGGAGAATCCCTTCCTTTGACTTGTTTGAGGTGTGCTGAGGACAGCCAAGCTCCCCTGTACAAGATGCAGGTGGGGCAGCACAGCTCTCCAGCAGCCGTCAGCCCTCAGAGCTGCAGCATCCTTCAGGACTGGCAATGCTGTTGTGCACTCCACAGCTGATGGGCTTGGGGAAGGGCAGGCACCCAAAAAACCCAACACAAAGGCAAGGTCAGGGATGTGCCAAGCATCTGAGTGCTGCATCCAAAGTGTGCAAACATCTCCAGGTCTTTTCTCCTGAAAAAGCTTCCAGAGATGCTTGTGCTGCTCAAGGACCAGCAAATCACTGTGGATCCCCTTGGGCAGGGCAGGCAGAGACAGGAACCTCCAAGCCTATAGGGCTGTCCCTCTCTAGACACGCAGACAGGGTATTGTTATCCATCCTTCCCAGTGCAATGGGGTCCTGCTCTTCCCATAGGGTTGCCCATGAGCCTGTCTCCTGGCAGGAAGGAAGCAGTGACCTACAGGAACCATGCTGGGGGGCTATGGGAAGGCAGCCTGCAGAGGGGGAGTCCAACTGGACAATGCCTGCTCCTTGCCTCTACCTGCCCGTCTGTGGAAGAGCAGGAGCACAATCAAAGATCCTTTTCCTGGCTGCTGTCTGCAGGTGGAGACCCCCCAAGGAAGGAGCTGCCTTCCTTGGGGTTGCAAGAGCCAATGCTGCAGCACAGCAGGGACCCAAGGGACACGCTCACCTAGCAGTGAGGGGCTGGGCAGGCAGGGTTGATGCTGACCATCATTCCTTCCCCTTGCCCTTCATCTCTCAGGGGACACAAAAGGGATACGTTCACCTGACACACAGCATTACTCACGCCATCCATGGTGGGCCAGAGAGCTGCTGGTGAATGCCCTTTAGAGGATCACACTTCCATCAACAGCAGGGCTCCAGCTCCTCAGAGAACGACTGAAGGAGCTGCGGCTGACCCAGTTACCATCCATTGGCTCAGCTGGGGTTAACAACAGAGTGGGAGACCTCCACCACTGCCCACAAAGGGCTCTGGAGCTGGTTGCACCCCATGCCCTGCCCTGGCACTGCTGTTTTCCACCCACTGCCTTGGCCTCCAGAGCCAGGGATGGAAGTGGTGCTACCATATCCCATTAACAGCCAAGGGCAGGTCATCAGCTCAGCCACACACAATACCCACCCATGTCCCCTCTGTGCAGCTCCTACCTTATCTCTCTTGGGCCACTGGACGATGGGGATGCCTGTAAGTGCCAGTTTGGGGTCGCTGTTTGCGTACTCTTCTAGCAGCAGCTAATGGAGGGAGATGGGGAGAAGCAGAGAGACAAAAAGCACAGGTATGAGAGCAATGAAACAAGGCGGGCTCTGACCTGATGCCAACACGCTTCCAAGAGGGCTGGGAAGGAGCTCTCCCCATCCCCATCCCCATCCCACCCCCGCCAGCAGCGATCCCTCCCCACATCACACAGACAAGCTCTGTCGAGTCCATCTGCACCAGCGCTTTCATCAACTGCATTTCAGCCCCGAGGCCCCGCGCTGTGCAGGGGTGGGGGGAAAGAGTGTGCCAAGCTTCTGCAATCCAATGGGATTTACAGGGGAGGATGCATGAGGGTCAGTCCTCACTGCTCCCCCTGCATGGGGTAGATGGAGGGTGTAAGGGTGGCAGGATGCAGCATCCCCTCCACAGCCTGGCACAAGCTGTAGGGAGCCAAGAGCTGCTCTCCTGCATTGCCTCAGGGCTTGGCATTAACATAAGGGATGCTTAGCACCCACCGGATAGGCACGCTGGCACACTGGATGGGTGCTCCCCCTCCATCACCTCCCCACTCCCCACCGAATTTGGGTGCTTTATTTACTTGGCGTTGCCATGGCTACGCTGCCAGGAACCTCCTGCCTGCATCCCGGTGCTGCTTCCCGCTGCCAGGCACGGCCAGGGCCCCCCCCCCCCGCCGGGTATCCAGCTCCGCAGGGAGGGGGGTATCCAAGCCCCTGGCTCCAGCCTGGCTTTCCGGCGTTCCCCCCCTCCTCCTCGGCTGGCTGCGGGAGGCAGGAAGCTGCTGCAGCCTCCCCCTCCGCTCCCCTGCTGCCTACAGACCTTCCGCCTCCCCCCAGCCCTTCCCATGAGCACACGCTGGAAGGAAAGGTCAGGGACTGGGGGCTCACATATAGATATATATCAATAAATACATATTAAATGCATATACATGTATCTATATAACCTACAGATCACACACACGGGCAGGGAACCGCAGCCTCCCCCTCGCTCGGAAGCACTGTGGGGGTGCTGGGGGTGGCTCAAACACATTTCCAACCATGGGGGTCCCAAGGGGCTGCTGCTGGAGGCGGGGAACCGGGGTGCTGCGGCAGCATCCGGGGTGGATAAAAGCCCCCTTCTCCCTTCTGCCCATGGGGACAAGCAGAGGGGTCCCTGCGAGCGCACCGCACGCATCCCCCAGCCGGAACGTGGTACCCGGCAGCAGGGGAGAGGAGCGGAGAGAGCCCGAGCACCAGCCAGGGGTCCCCGCTATGGACACGGGGGTCCCCGCTATGGACACGGGGGTCCCCGCTACGGACACGGGGGTCCCCGCTACGGACACAGGGGTCCTCGCTACGGACACGGGGGTCCCCGCTACGGACACAGGGGTCCTCGCTACGGACACAGGGGTCCCCGCTATGGACACGGGGGTCCCCGCTACGGACACGGGGGTCCCCGCTATGGACACGGGGGTCCCCCCCTCGCTCCCCTCCCATCCTGGTTGTGCCGAGTGCGGCCCCGCGTCCCCTCCCCGTCCCAACGAGCGCTGCCACCCGCCTGACCTTGCGCCTCTGGAGCTGCCGCGACTCCGGGGTGAAGTTTGCCGAGCCCTCTTTGTTCCGGGTGCCCCCCCTCACCACGGCCCCCTCCGGGGGCTGCCTCACTCCGCGCGGCCCCGAGCAGGACCCCCGGTCTTTAGGGACATGGCTGCGGGAGCAGCGGGACCCCCGGCCCTGAGCGCTGCCGCTCGCTGCGGGGCTCCGGCAGCCGCCCTGGCAACCGCGTGTTCCTCCGGAGCCTTCGGGCAGCAGCAGCGGCAGCGGCAGCGGCAGCTTCCTGAGCCTCAAACAATGCTGCTGCGTCACCCACATGCGGTTCCCAGCAATGCTTTGCAACGGGAAGATGGCAGAAAGAGAGGGAGGAAAAAAAAAACCGAGGCAACGTTGGAGCAGGGAGGGCAGAGCCGTTCTGCTGCAGCGCCGGGAGGGGCCGGCACGGGCGGCTGGCGCCTCGCCGATTGGCGCAGGGACACGGGCGATGGGGGCCACCTCCAGCCCTCGGCACCGGCCCCGAGCCCAGGACCAGGCTCCCCGGGGCAAGGGTAAAGCGTGGCCGAGAGCTCGGACACCCCCCCCCCGCTGCCTTTCTTTTGTCTTCGCCGAGGTGGGTTTGGGGGGGTCCTGGGGGATGAGGGGTGAGGGGGGGAAAGGGGTTGGAGGTGAAGGCATGGGGGGATCTGCCCTTTGGAAGGTGGGGGCGCAGGGACTGCACCCAACCTCCCTCGACAAATATCCCAAAGCCATCAGTGAGCAAACCACTGGATGGGGACAACCCCACTGGGTGAGACAAGGTCTCCCCAACCATCACCCAGGTACCCCAGGACCCCCAACTCCATCGTTCAAATGGAGGGAAGGCTGGAAATGAAGCAAGTGCTCAAAGCAGCGATGGAGAACAGAGGCTGATCCCATGCCTGGTGCAGCCAAAGCATCTCCAGCTCATCTGTCCTGTCCCCAGGTACCTTGAGCTGATAACGTGGGTCTGAGCCACCAACACCACCCACAGGCTCTCTGCAGACCAGTGCTGCTGTCCCAACCCAGGAGGAACCTTGTTAGCACAGCTCAAAGGCCACCCTGACCTTCCTCATCCATCCCTGCTGGGAGCATCCCCTGTTCCTCACCAAGGCGTCTCCGTGTCCCATTATACTGGCAGCAAATGGGCAAGCAAATTCCAGCTGGCAGATTGACTGGGCAGGGAAAGGAGAGCAGGAAGCACAGGGAATGCTTCAGGCAGATGTGACCTACAGGAGGAGGAGATGGGGACAGCAACATGTGTCTGCAGAGCAGTGAGAAGATGTCTCTGCTCATGGGGAGACCCAACACAACAGAGCCATGTATGAGGGCAATGCCACACCAGAGGCTTTGAGATGAGCTCAAAGCACGTCTGGGATGGGTTCTTCTTGCTTGGTGCTCCACCACCTCCATGCAGAGCCCAGATATAACCCATTTCTGACAGCTACCAAGGCCACAGGGTTTGGTGGCCCTGTAGCAAGAGGATGGTTCAAATGTAGGCTTGGCTCCCCTGAGTTCAGCAGGTCCCATCCCCATGAACCATCCTGCTCCTTTGATGTCTGCGTGATGGAAACCAGGACACCCCAAGAGTGTGTCCACCAAAAGTAATGGACAGGAGCAACCAAGACACAACAGAACCCCTCAGAAGAACCCTCTCTGTCAATGATCTTTCTGATGACCCCAGTGCAGACCATGCACAGAAGCATCACCAGATGCATGGAGGTTTTCCAGCAAGACTTCAGTGCCACAAAGCAATGTGTCTCAACCTCATTTTGCAAAGGCAGATCTTCTCCTGGGGCAGTGCTCAAGCCTTTTTGACTCCTGCTGGTCCTCCCATTGAAGCCACTGGAAAGCATGGTGATATGGTGACACCAGGAGCTTTCCAAGGCAAAGCTAGATGAGGCAACATGCTCTTCCTATTCAAGATGCCCAACGCAGCCCTGTCTAGGATGGGTTCAAAGTGCCAACAGATGGACAATCCCTCCTGCCATGGAACTAGGAGCACCTATTTGTCACATCCCAAGTGTCACATCCCACCACGTGATGACTCCAGGCTCTACCCATGACATGATACAGAAGTGTGTTCCTTCACATGGCCCAACATAAAGACATCCCAGAGTCGTGATCACACAGGAGGCTGTGGGAAAGGGAAGCATTTTCCTGCTTGCCACCAACACAGCATCTGCTGACTGGACCCGTGCAGGGACAGCAGTGAAGCTGATGGGCACTGAGCTGATTCTGTGCTTCTGTGGGAGCAGGTCTTTCCCAAAGTCCCCATCCCAGGTCCACTGACGACCTCACCTGCTGAGATGTGAAGGTTGGGAGAGCACCTGGTGCAGACCAGTGGCCTCAGGGTCAGGCTAAGATGCTGTGTAGGATGTATGGTTTCCATTTAGCTTAAGTCACTGAAAGTGGAGTAGGGTCTAGTTCTCCACTAGCACATAAGGAAGAACAGATGAACAGAAAGGATCCAGGTCTGCAGTGCAGCACAAGGGATCCTACATGGATTATTTCTCCCAGGAGCAGCAAGGAAAGGCAGGATCACCAGAACAAGCCCAGGGAAAGGAAGGGCTGTGCTTAAACACAGCCATGGTAGGACTGTGCTCTGGGAGTGCAAGAACATAACAGCCATCAGAGGAGGGAAGCTTCCAGAGGAAACCTGACTGGCTTAGGATCTGCATCCCACATCATGAGCTACGGATGCATAGATGGAAACTTCACACCTCTTGCTTGGTAACAACTTGTCCTGCTTTAAAAAATAGAATAAATAGAGATGGTGTTCTCCATACAAGCTGTTGCTATTGAAAACCAGACCTCCACTCATTGGGCTTTTCAGTGGTCAGAGCAGTTACAAAAGGGTTAGCTACAAATGTCTTCCCCCTTGCCAGGTTTTAGAAGCCAACCTCTGTTTGCCACTTCCACCCCCTCTAAGGACAAGGCAGGCTTTGAAGGCAGGTTTGCTGTAGTTTGAGAAACTTGTTCATTTCCTCTGCCACTGCAGCCTGATAAAGGATCTTCAGGCTCCAAGGATCCCCCATAGCACAGCCTTTACTTGGGAGGCCGCTGGTCCTGAGAAACAGAGCCCTGCAGCTCAGAGACCAGCTTTAAGGTGCAAGTCCTTCAGGGAAGCCGTCTGCTCTGACCACACTGCAGGGGCTGTCACCCACAGCTCAGCTGTGAGCTACAACCAGACAGGGGCTGGTGAGTCACACCTAAACCACAGGCACATCCGTCAGCCTCACAACACAACCAAGCCCTTTGAGCAGGTCTCAAAACCCAGCTGAACACTGACAACCTTGAACGTTCTGCCTTCAGAACACCCAACACACCCCATCGGCCTCCCTGTTTCAGTCCAAGAAGGGTGAAACACGGCTCAAAGCTTGAGTTCCTCCAAGCTTCATCCGGTCTGTAGTAAGGGTGAGGCCACCCCACTGCAGTGGCTCAGGAACACGCGTGCTGAGTGCTTGAAGAAGCCACAGGAAACCAGAAGTGCAGCCCCCCAGCAGCACCTACTCACACTCCTTTAGCTCTACCAGAGCTCGGCCTGCACACAGCAGCTCACCCTGGCGCCTCAAAGCTGCACTCATTGCTCCAAACACAGCACAGCACTGGATTTACTGATTAAAGCTATCAGAAGATAGCACCTGGAACCAAGAAACACAACGGCAAAGAGCAGGATACACCCATGGCTGTGTCTGGATGTCAGCTTTGGTACAGACAAGCAGCTGAACAGATCACCACCAGCAAGGGAGAAGGTGGCAGCTGTGGTCTGAGGGACTAAACTGGATTGCTGGGGAGGAGTGAGGCTGAAAGGGCTGAGACAGCTCCTGGAGGCAGCTCAACAGGTTTGGCAGATACAGCTCAGGGTGTAAAGCAGGATGGGGAGAAGGGGTAAGGCTCACATTACCTAAGGCCACATCCTGTGCAAACAACCCAAAGAAACCAAATCCACCTGGGGCAAGGGAAGGGCTCTCACTGTCAGCGTCCAGCAGCTCAAGGAGTCCACAGCCAGAACTGGATGCAAACGGCATCAGAGACAAGCACCCTTGCACTGACACCCATAAGGGACCCACACAGGACCCAGAAGGTCCCCAGAGGAGTCTCAGCCATGCTCCTCAGCCCTGACCCAAAATCCAAGCCATGGGTGTCCCTCAACATCAACCGATGTAATGTAAGCCTCATGGAGAAGAAGGACCCCAAGCCTGCAGCCACATCACCCCCTCACCCCAGGATGGCGAGATAAGGTCAGGATCAATCCCAGCACCTTGGCAACCAAAGGAACTTGCACCCCCATCACCCTTCCCTACCTTGACGTCAGCGATGAGAGCATCCTCATCCTCAATGCCGGTGGGAACACACTTCTTGTGCAGGGGGAGTGACTCCAGCTTGTCCACGAGGCAGCGCAGCCCCTCCAGCTCAAACTGGGTCAGATGGACCTTCCTGCTCTTGCGTGGGCTGCCTCCATTGGGATCACAGGCCTGGCCGTTCTGGGAGCCCCGGCTGGAGTCAGAAGAGTCTATAGATGGGGTCTTCTTCAGACCTGGCAGGCTGCTCCGGCAGCTCTTGCCCAGTTCATCATAGTCCACATTGGCACCGTTGGCAATGGGGCTGGTGAGAATGGACCTCCTTGTGATCGGTCGCCGGGGCTCCTTCCCTCCTCCATCCTCATCCTCTTCCTCCTCCTCTTCCTCTTCCATGTTTACAGAGTCCGAGGAGCTCAGCTCCATATCTGCCGTGATGGAGAGAGTGAGAAGAGCACAGTGACCAAGCACTCACAGAAGGGGATTCTAGAGAAGTCTATCAGAGATGTTGGAGCAACAGATACATTACGGGGACAAAGCAGAAGGAAAGGATAGGACATTTTGCAGTTGGAACAGAACAGCTAAAACCCTTTCCCATTCCTGGCTCATTCTGTGGGAAGGCGAGGCACAGGACATAGGAAAACATCCCAGAGTAAGAGACAGCAACACCCTAGATAGGATTTCATACAATACTAGAATGGTTTGGGTTGGAAGGGACCTTAAACATCATCCAAGTCCAACCCATGGGCAGGGGCATCTTTCACTGTATCAGGCTGCTTGAAGCCCCATCCAAGCTGATTTGCTTTGGAGGGCTTGGGATCTGCAGCATTTGGTCCTGAGTGACTTGAGACCTCGATCCTGCCTTCACGGTGGGAAAAAGAGGATGTGGGCTTTAACTAGGTGACTGTGAGGTCTCTTGGCCTGATTGTGCACAATAAAACCCCCTTCTCTGCCAGCTCTCCTGCTCCCTTCCTCTCAGCTCCCTGCACTAGTTCCCATTTCACACTGCTCAGTGGTAAAGGTGATGGAGACCTCCAGGCAGGAGGAGGACAGAGATGGCCTTTCCCAAACCAAGTGCTGAGGGGGATCTCCAGGGAACCACAGGGGAAGGACAAGAACTGGGAGCTGTTTCCCTCTGCTAGAGCTCCTTGGACAGGAAGCCCCAAAGAGGCTGTAGCTGTGAGGAGAGGTGCCCCCGGGCCAGTAACCACAGCCTCTGAGGGGAGTGAGGATGGATTTGCCTTAAGGGCCTTGGGTGGAGGCTGTTCAGCTTTCCCCTGCTCTGAAGAAAGGTCTCTCTGTAAGAAACCATCTCTTGTAAGGAGGCCAAACATTCCTTTTGCAACAGACTCCCAGCACATGTAACTCTGACAGTGCTTTAACCTCTGTGTGCAGGAAGGTCCTGATCAGCCAGAAGGCATTTCTGCCCCACAACTTCAACTTCCCTCCACCTCTTCTATTAAAAGCTTTGTGTGTACCAGCAAGGGCAGGAACCTGTGTGCTGGTTTTACACAAGCAAAGGAACCTGGCCTGTACCAAAAGAGGAAGCAGAACTGTCTGGTTTTGACTGCTTGTTCAAAGGGAAAGAAAGAAACGGCACCTCCTTTGGCCAGTCTGCAATGCCATCAGCTGTTCTCTGACTGCTCAGTGCAGCAAACAGTGCCAAGGGAGGAAACACCCACAGAACCCCCTTGTGGAACTGAGGAAGTGATGGTCCCAAAGTGATTCTTCCCCTGGCCAGCACCCCTGCACGAGGATGCTTTGATACAGGTGAGGGAGGAATAAGGGCTGGATGGTCAATGCAGGGGGCTTACCCATACTGAGTGACTCCTTCTGGAAGTCCTTGGTGAGGTGGGAGCGGCTGGTGATGCAGTAGACATAGCGCTCCAGCACGTACCAACACATCTCATAATAGAAGGGATAACGAAACTTATTTGGGACCTGCAAAAGAGGAGAGGAAAAAGGGGTTGGCTCAGGCCTCCTCCACCACCAGACAGCACAGAGATAGCTCTTATTTATTACTGCTGCCTCACACCAGACCGATCCCCTCCTGAGAGACAGGAAACGCATGTACATGTGTAACAGCATCATTCATCCTTCTGGCAGCCTGATGTAATTCTCCTTGCAGGAGGATGTTATCACCAAGCAGAGCAGAGACCAGGCACTATTCACTTGCAAGCCATTAACATTTCATTTCTCTTTGTTAGGGTTGCAGCTCTTCCCCCACAGACCTTCTCATCAGTACAAGAAGTGGCGGAGTGCCACAAAAGGTTGCAGCTGAAGGGAAGAGGTTCAAGGCTTCCTCCCAAACCACAGCACAGCATCTGATGGGATTTGTATGAAGGGAAAGGGTTGGTCTATGCAGAGGTTTAATGAAGCTCAGCTATTGAGCAGTGCTATCAGGGCTCTGTCACACCAGTGCCAGCAATTCGCATACTGGTAGAAGATGGTCCTGACCCTGCTGCTGTCCTCACGTTCCTGAGGCTACTCAGATGGCAGAGCTGCATCATCCTGTGTCTCAGCTCCTCTGGATGATGGTCTGACATCTGAGTGCTAACCCACAAGTTCTACCTGCTGCAGCACCTTAAAGTGCTTTGGAGAAGCCATGAGGCTGCTCATCATAGCCCTGAAGCCTCTCTGCACAGCAGGACCCACGTCTCCACAAGGAGCAAGCAAGAACACCCGCTTGCCAACAGCATGCTCTGCTCCAGACCTGTACCTTCAGGAGGCTTGGACATTACGCTTACAGAGAGCTGGAGTTGGAGCCATCTGTCCCAGGGGGAGATGACTTCTCTGCCTGCACAGCACTGCTCTTGGCTGCACCCTCCTCACCACCCCAGGAGCCCACATCCTCCCACCTTCCCACAGGTCCTTACCCGTGTCCGGTCTTCAATGCTGTAGATCCGGAGCTGCATAGGGATGTTGAAGCTGTGTAAGAAGTTGCCTCCAAACACCAGTGTGTCCATGGGAGTGTACACAGCATGGATCCAACCTTGGAGAGAAAGCAGAGCTTGGAGCATCCTGGGGAAGGTCAAGGTCTCACAACTGACAGTCCTTACTAATTCAAACACTGCTGCACCACTCAATACCAGCTCACTTGATCCCACTAATGGCTAGAGACAGACTTGTACTCAAGCACTTCAATACACCTATGGATCTGTCCTCTCATGGTGGCCAATGTACCTGTATCCAGCTCATGTCCAATGCTCTTTGTCATCCTACCTTTGGAGCGGTGCCTACCAACTGTATTAGGCCTAAGAATGTCAGCAACAAGGAAAACAGTCTTCCAAAGTCTGGTTAACTGTTAAAATACCCTCCAAGGAATACAAGTTCCAGCTCTGTTACCTCCAAGGCCAAGCAATCCAGACAAGCCCAACATTTTGGGTACTGCAGCACGGGTTTTGTTAAGGCAAGGGCACTCAATTCAAAAGAAGAGTCAGTTGTGGTAACAGGACTCAAATGAGTAACTTGTACAACCCCTGTGCTTTTCTGTTCCTGGTCCTGCAGTAAGTTACAGTGCAACCCTGCACTGCTGTTGGAGATGAAACAGGGTTGCAGCAGCCTTTGACATCAGAGACAGTCTTATGGACACAGTTTATATGCAGCAGTTATTACCAGGGGTCCAACAATGTTTCTGCTGCCAAGGGACTATTCCCTAGGGCAAGAGGAACATGTTATAGACATCCCAGGTTCTAAAAGGCCAGTCCTTGTAACCAACTGACTTGAGCTGCTTTTTTATCTGCCTCTGCTCTTCTCCAGCACTGCACTGAGCTAACTGTGCATGCAGACACTGCTGATGCCCTCCTGTTACTCTGCTTCCTAGAACAAGTCAGGCTAAAGGATTCTTTTAACTCTTGAGTGTTTCCATTCCCAGTCTCAGTCTCCTTGCCCAAGCTCTCTGCAAAGCAGTTACCTGCAAGTCTCCCCCTGGTTTTGCTTCCCAGCTCCCTCCTGGGTTTCAGTGCTTTCCAGCATCCCATTTTGTAGCTACATGCTTTTCAGTTCTCCCATCTCCAGTACATGCAGACTGTTCCGTTGCCTTTCCTTGTGCCCAGAGCCACCACCTTGCTCCTTACACACACACACTGGCTGCCTTCCTTGCTTCACAACTGGATTATAACTGTACAGTGATCTCAGAAGCTGTGAGGATGAGGAGGATGAGGAGCTGTGCTGCCTTGGGCACCACTCTGCATGTCACCATGAACAGCACTGGGAAAGCCTCCTTTAGTGACTATCCAGAGTGATGTGAGCCAGCCACAGCTTTCCCATCACTTGGGCTGAATCCACAGTGCCATGACAGGCATGTTTTGGGAGCTGGCAAGCAAGAGGATGGAGCCACGTCACATCTCCCTCTCCCAGTTACATGAAGAGGAAGCTAAATCCTGCCTGCTCCCAGTTTGTGTCCTAGGAGTTTCAGTCTCTTGTCACAACCCTGGCAAAGGCCAGGGGGGATGTGCCCACCCCGTGGTACCTGAGGGGATGACAAATGTGTAGCCCTGCTTGAGCTCGATGCGCTGGCACTCAGACACTCTGTCCCCAAGGAAAATGTCTCCCTGCTTCCCTGAGAGAAGCCAGTTTTCATAGAGCTCCAGGTTCTGTGGTGTAGGAGGGATCAGCCAGAAGATCTGCAGATGAAGACAACACGTGTATGTAAGTCATAACTGACAGCTATTAAATACTGCCTGCTTCTTCCAAACCTGCCCTGCTCCCTCTCCGGACATCTACATCTGTTCCTTTCCCCACCAGGGGATGCAAATCCAGAGACAATCCCAGTAAAGCAACCTGAGCATATGTCCCATTGGAGAGGGCAAGCTGCTGAGTGAGATCTTGCCTGACCTAACTCACTGAGCACCACAGGCAGACTGAGCTTGGGATGCTTTGTGAGGTTTTGTTTCTATCAGTGTTAAGAGACAGAGCCCACGAAAGACACCAGAGTGTTAGAGACAAAGAGATACCCACCTCAGTGTTTCTGCCATGTTAGTAAGAGCTACAGCTGAACTAGAGATTTAAGCCTGTCTGGATCCATGGAGTGCAGGTGGCAGGGAACTACCCAGCCCCAAACAGGCTGTTCAGAGACTGTTAGCTCTTCAGGGGAAGGCACTGGAGCCACAACCCCTCAACAGAAGTCTGGCAGCTACATCTCCTTTGCAAGGAAAGGTGGGTGAAAAGCCCAGATTCTTCAGGTAGGGCAGAGTTTGCTGCTGCCCCATCCCTGGCAGTGCTCAAGGCCAGGTTGGACACAGGGGCTTGGAGCAAGCTGCTCCAGTGGAAGGTGTCCCTGCCCGTGGCAGGGGTTGGAACTGGATGGGCTTTAAGGTCCTTTCCAACCCAAACCATTCCATGATTGTATGAAATCCCTGCCCAGTTATAACTGGAAGAAACCCATCAGGGGACAGACATCACACTCAGATAAAGGCTGCAACCAGAGAGACTCAAACACAATGAAGCCTGAGGTTTGCTTCTAGTCTCTTTGGCTGAGCTCAGCTCCAGGAAGCAACTCCAGAGAACAGCTTAAACCTGACACTGTTTCAGAGCTAATTCTCACCAGAAACCATGCAAGTGTTCTGCAGTGAAGCCCTGTCAGTAACCTTCAGTTCAAATGCTCCTGCTTTTGAAGTCACTTCATGTTTTAAGGTGACCCCTTATGCATTTGTTGGCTATTTAAACCCCCTGAAAGGCTTAGCTTTAGGAGCAGCTCCCATCCATCTTTAATTACCTTTCTTCAGCTTGCTGCTGCTCTCAGTGTGCTATTTGTGCCATAGCAAGGGGTGATCAGCCATGCAGCCAAATCACCTCTCAGAAGGCAAGGCCCTGCATGAATTGGGTTATTCTATTCAGTGTATTCAGCCCTTTATAAGGTTGTCTTGGCATCATCCCTCCAGCACAGGTTTTCAGCCTGTGCCTGGTGCACCTCTGATCGACCAGTTTAGGATGGAAAGACTTCAATTTGCTGTCCAGAACCTGCATCCTCACAGATCAGCAAGAGGATGGACTAAAAGCCACCCTCCTAAAGCACCTGTAAGTGTCCAACAGGGACTGTCCTCCTACCTTTCCCCCTCGGTGGATGTGGTACCACACAGAAGTGCCACCGAAGTCCACGTGGAAGTCTGTGTAGCAGCCCTTGACACTCATCAGACAGTATCTGGTGGAGAACAAGACAGGGATAAGGTGAAATGAGCAGGTAAAATATATTCAAAGGGAATGGGCTGCCTAAACCCAGGCTCCCAGCAGTGCCAGCACACAATTACTGCAGTGCTAAGCACTTGAGCTGCAGGAAGGTGGTGGCTTGCAGGAGAGCTCACTTTGCAGTTATGTCACATCCCCACACAAAGATCTAATCCAGGCTCTCCTCCTCGCACATCTGCAGCTCTAGAAACCCCCAGTCACAGGCCTACAGGGCAGGACAGGCAATGCTCAGCAGCTGGGCTGGCTCCAGATGTTTCAAGGTGGTGAGCACCCCTCCACACATCATTTGTTAGGGGCTTAAATAACTGCAGCATCCTTACAAGTGTCACCCACTGAAACAGACTGCTCCTCCCTCTTCCCCTTGGTACAAACCACTTCTCCCTTGGGCAGTTCTCTTGCAAGAGATGCCCTGCTGCCTGCCACCACTGGAACAGCTCAGGAAGTCACTTACTTCTGCACCTTTGGATACTGCATCTCCAGGATGGCATTCGTAGACTCTGTCTGACTCTCCTTCAGGTGCCTGGGCCACATGTTATCAACCCAGTCAATCAAATCCACCTACAGCAGGAAAGGTGGGAGACATGAGTAGAGATGACAGGGAACCGTAATCCCTTCTGATACTCCCCCTGGCTGTCCTAGAGGCTAAAATACCTACTGCCTCTCATGTGCAACCTTCCCCATTGCACTGGTGCAGTCCCACACATAAAGCACTTTAGGACCAGCTGCTCTGATGCCAGTTGCTGTACTGTGACCCCCTGATTTCAAACAAGCAGCAAACACCACAGCAAGATCCCAAGCTTGGTACTGGGACGCTGGTCGTCTACTCAGGGGCTAGGCAGGAACTGGTATGCATTGGGGATGCATAAACCATGCAGGACAGCATCCGCCAGGGTGGGATTGAAGTCACTAAGCTTCAGCACAGCCCCAGAGCAGGCAGAGATGTCCAGGCTCCCTCTACAGTTAGCAGGGAGAAGTGAACGGCCCCACAGAGCTGCCCCTTCCTCTTCACTGACTGCAGAGGGAGTCCAGGGTGTCCATCTCCGGTTTCTCGCTGTCAAACCGCTTCCTGCCCCCTTCCAGCACAGCTCCAGTCTTGGCCTCCTCTGCCCTCTGAGATTTCAGCACCAGAACCCCTCCTTGCCACACCACAGAACCCTCGGGAGTCCCAGCTGCACACAGGGGTGGTGTCCTAATGGGATCACGCTTTCCAAGGACCAAGAAAACCTCAAAGCTCAACCAGCATCCAGGCTTTAGCTGCTCACTCCAAATGCAGCTGAGCTCTGCTGTCTCATACATGATGGCAGGTCCACCCTTGCTCTCCACTGTGGCCTCTTGCCACAGTGGAGCTGATCACTGCTGCAGGATGCAGGGGAGAGCTCCACACCAAGCATCAGTGAAGAGCACAGATGTAAGGTAGACCCAAGACTGAATGACAGCCAAGCTCTTGGCAGGCAGTGGAAGAGGCTAACTGGGAGAGGCTGGAAGCCAGCATCCCCACCCTGTCCTCAGTGCTCACTGTGGCTGAGCACCAGACTGACCTCTCTGTTCAAACTGAGGTGCTTGTTCGTGATCAGCCAGCACAAGCAGGTTACTTCCATTTAATTATTCCTTCCTATTAATTGCTGATAGCCAATCATTAGCTGCTGATATCCAACCATTAGCTGCTGATAGCCAATCATTAGCTGCTGATAGCCACTGAGCTTTCTGCAGAAGTCAGCTGTCTGCAAAGCAACACACCAGGGACTTGACCGTGGTGGCTTGCCCATATAGGATGAGGATGCACAGGCTAGGGCTGACTGTGAGATCAGCCCCAGCAAACGAGGCCCATGTCAGACACAGGATCAGCTCCAGCAGCTTCCAGAGCACAGCAGCGACATCCCTGGTTGAGCCCATGCATGTTATGAGCAGCTCTTCTCCTGCACTCAATGCCAGGCTGCACCTTACCCCCAAAGGCCCACAAGTGCAAGGGAAGGAAGAGCCATGCTCACCGTAGCAGGTCTCTGCACCAGGTTCTCCAGTTTGGTGTGGCTGAACTCCAGGCTGATGACGTTGTAAAGTTTCTCCCTCTCAGCCTCTGGTGTTTCGTAGTAGCGTGCCCACTGTGCCATGGACATCTCAATGTCCCTCTGTGTGTTCACATCCATGACATCCACCATCCGCCGGCTCCCTGCCGGGACACACAGACAGCACTGGAACCATCCCTGTGCACAATGGACCACCCAGAAGAGATGCTCCAAGAGGCACAAGATCCTTCCTCAAAGAACCCCCCCCCAGCAGTGGGATGTTCTGGCCTCTCCATAACTTCATCTTCTTCCATACCCACATTGAAACTGAACCTGCTTCAGGTCAAACTGGACTCAAGCAGGTAAAAGCTGTGGTCCACTGGCTCAGGCACACTGGGGGAGCCACATAACCACACCTCCCATTGGTTCCAGACCACTGGTACACCCAGTGACTCCCCCATCCCTCCCCATCTGCCCAGGGCACACCAGAGGCATGCTGTGGTCCCCGGACACTTACCAACGCAGAGCCGCACATCATTGACGCTGAAGTCCGGGTCTGGCATCCTGCAGGACAAACACCTTGCTAAAACATCATGAAATGCTTCTGGTTGCAGACCCTTTCCACCTCCAACCCCAGTATTAGCACCCTGAGGATGCTACCGGGCTTCTTTTCCTCTTGGGTGGGGGTGAAGAGCATGAAACCAGATCTCTGGGGTGAAACACAGAGCCCCAACTCCCGGCTAAGGAAGCAGATTTGGGAATAGGATACATCCTCTCCAGAGCACGAGCTCTTGTAGTGGCTTCTGGCAAATGCTCCAGCAACCTTTGAGCTAAGCAATCCCAGCTCTCCTTTGGGAGAGTGCTCCTATGAGTTATCCCAACATAAAGAGCACGGCCAGACCCGCACACGGGATGTATTTCACTGACACAGCAGAACTCCTCTCCCTGTTTGTACTGGCACACTTATCTGTACAAACACAGGCAGAACGGGCAGGCAGCCATTCAAGCAGCTCTTGACCCAGAGAAATCACCAGAAGCTCAAAGGAAATCCACGTTCACCCACATTAGAATCCTCAGGATCAAATCCTTGCCTTTCCAAACCACCCAGTAAGCATGGTACCATCTAAGTCACCCCAGTATAGCACATCATGCACTGGGTGAGATGCTACCCATCAATTCACAGCCCGCTGAGGAAGCTGAGAGCAATGTGGATGATGCTGCCTCTGACTAAGGCTAATTTATCCCTTTAACCAAACCCAAACCCCACTGACCCAGCAGAAACACCCAATCAGATCAGGTTTGAGGTTTATTTAAAGCCAGCTGTAATGTTTTATAGCATTACTTGCCTTAACACTACATCTACCACCCCATTGTGTATTTATATGAACATCATAAACCAGCACAAAGTCCTGCATCAGCACAGCTTTACACTCCAAGCTGTAAGCTTTGATTGACTGTAGCAAGAGACAGAGATGGCAGTTTAGAAGTAACCACGTTGGATAAATCAGGTTGGAATTGCTGGGAAATGCCAGAAATACTACAAATTGCTTGACTCTGGCAAGTGATGCTGTATTACTAGGAAAGGAACCCAGCCAGATGTTGCATCAGAGCAGCAGTGGGATATTCCAGGCATTTAGTTGCATTGTGGTCACCTACAGCCAGCTCTGACTTTAAGTCCAGACTTGTAAGAACAGGATAACTGAGGTGGAAGATACTTCTCACTGCAGGTAAAGAACAGCATGGACAGGACACTCCCATAACAACCTGGTTTCAGGTCCAGCTACTGGATCAGATCCCACACAATGTGGGAAGAGAGGCAGGAAACCAGGAGTCATCCATCCCTAACACTTACTTTATCCCCAAGCCATCGGAGCTCCTGAAGATGAGAGGGTCCCTCAGGCCACCCCTCTGGATGTATTCAACTGTGAAGTCTGTGAGGAACAAAAGGGAAGGTGTTAAGGGAGACTCCTGCAGAGGACTAGAGACAAAGTGAGGTTAGACAGGATCTCTGGAGCTCCCTACTTCCACCCTGCTCCCAGCAAGCTGAATTCAGACCCAGAGGAGGTTGTTCAGAGCAGTTGAGAGCTGAGACCCTCCTCTTATCCCTGTGACAAGGCTCACCAGCAAAAGGAAGTGCTGCTCCTTGCTGTTTCTACACTCCTTGGAGACCCTGGAACTCCTTTGAGGCAGTTCTGTGAGCTGTGTGCTGCTCACAGACCTCAAACAGAGCCTCTAAGGAGGAGGGAGTTTGCTCCAACAAGCAGCACCAGGCAGGGGAAAGAGTGTGGAGGTTGGTCCTCACTTCCCCAAGAAGCCCCAAGCCAAGTTAGAGATGCCCTGAAGGAATGCTCCTCCCTCATGGTAAATCTTTGTGAGGGATGCACTGGCTCTGTGATGAAAAGACATCCCACTGAGCCATCTGTGTGGTGAAAGCAAGGGGAGAGATCCCACAGAGCCTTTGAATTGAGCATCCAGTAGACATGTGGCTGCAATTACAGGTGCCGACCCAGGCAAACCCTCTTGTTCCTGGCTGCCACGTGTCCCAGCAGGCCTGCAGATGGGCTCCTTGCTCTCCAGATTGAGGGGATTCCATGCCATTTCCCATACACACTCCCTGTTATCAGGCTTGAGCCAATCCTCCATCAATACACATCATACCACCTTCCAACTGCTTGGGGACTGCACAGGACTTGTGGGGAAGCAGTCAGAAACATCCCCCACCCCTTAGGTTATGGAAGCAAAGTGGTTTCCAGCACAGAACTGGTGTGAACAGCAGTTTTCCCAACTTCACAGGAAGACAGGAAGTAAAAGGTAGCAAAACACAGGAAAGGATTTAGGATTGCATTAACACCACAACTGCCTCGTAACCACCCTTTAAGGCAACCAGGGAAGCTCTGGGTGCAGTCAGACGCACAAGAGCACATTCAACTGTGAGCACTGCTGGCTTTCCATAGGGAAAGGTCCCCTCATACCATGGAGAAGCAGCCAGCCACTGCAGCTGTGTGGTTACTGACAGCAGCAGCACTGCCTGTCCCAGCACAAACCTTTGCCTTCCATGAAGACCACGAAGGTGGAGTTAAACTTGTTGGTGGACAGCTTCTCCTCGAGGTCAAATGTCCTCTTGCCTTCAATTTCATCATCAGAGATGCCATCGTCCTCGTAACGCCGCCTCATCGTGCCACGCTGAGGAGAGACCAGAGCAGGAGGTAAGGGATAGGGACCAGGAGGAACAACCAGAGCCTCTGGGGGAGCCCTCAATCCCTGCTTCTCCTCCCAAAGAAGAGGCCCTGGATTGTATTATCCATGACTCCTCTTGCTCCAAAAGGAGTTGGGATCAGTTTGCAAGGGGGACGTGCCAGAGAAGATCTATTTGAGCAATGTCTGTCCTGGTTCCAACACACCCCACTGAAACACCAGGTTTACCCCTCCTCCAACCAACACATTTGTGCAAGTTGGGCTCTATGGGAGACACATAATTCACAGCAACATGGGAAGAGGGGAATATTCAGTGTAACTGGGGATAAGAAAGAAGAACGTTACCTGGTTTTGCAGGTGCATCAGGATTTTGCTGCACTGGAGGGGAATTTAAACCCCTGTCACAATGCCAAATGATACAGGAATGGGTTTATGCTGAAGACAGTCCTCAAGTTTTCAGCTTTGGTTATGCACAGAAGCTAATTTATTCCCTTGTTTGTGTGTGTGGGAGCAGCAGGAGGGGAAACAACCCTTTTCTGACAGGGTCTCTAAGTACGTCTGTACTGGGATGCCTGACAGACATCCTCTTCCAGCAGTGCTGGATCTGGTAGGAATTACTGTCCCCAGCTGTTTGCCACCCCTCCATGCTTCCTTTGTGGGAATGCTCCCTAAATCCCCCCAGATAAAAGTGAACCTGGTCTGAATTAGCCAAGCTGCCTTCACCCAATTCGGGATGCTCCTGCTGTAAAGCATTCACACCAGTGGGGATAGCAGAGAGGCAGGGATGGGGCAGGAGATGATGCAGCAGCTGCTGTCACATTTGGGCCTAGAAGCTGGAGGCAGCAGCCTGGTGGCAACGGGAACAGGGTCACATCCAACCAAAAGCCATGGGTCATGATGCTGGGATGGCAAAATTCACCATCACTAATGAGGTGAGCAGCGTGCACATCGAGTCATGGAATGGTTTGGGTTGGAAAGGAGCTTAAAGCTCCTCCAGCTCCAACCCCAACCCCTTCCACTGGAGCAGCTTGCTCCAAGCCCCTGTGTCCTTGAGCACTGCCAGGGATGGGGCAGCCACAGCTTCTCTGGGCACCCTGTGCCAGCGCCTCAGCACCCTCACAGGGAAGAGCTTCTGCCTCAGATCCAACCTGAGCTTCCCCTCCGTGCATCTCCAGGCCCTGCACAACCTCCCACTGCCTGGGGTGTTTGACAGCTCACTTCTTCCTTGTTTTAGGCTCTCTTGATGAAAGCCCTGGCATGGGTAAGGGTTTCTTTTGCCCCCAGCCCTGCCTGGCCTCTCTCCCCTTCCCCTTAACCCCTGCTCCCCCAAACCCATCACAGCTTCAAACACACCTGGGTACAACCATCCCTCACCGATCACTACCTTGCTTTGCTGGTCCCTCTCTTCCTCCCTGTGAGGGTGCTGAGGCGCTGGCACAGGGTGCCCAGAGAAGCTGTGGCTGCCCCAGCCCTGGCAGTGCTCAAGGACACAGGGGCTTGGAGCACCCTGCTCCAGTGGAAGGGGTCCCTGCCCGTGGCAAGGGCTGGGACTGGATGAGCTTTAACATACCTTCCAACACAAACCAGGCTGGGATTCTTTATAGTCTTACCTATGTAAACAGCACCAGTGGAAGGGAAAGGCTCCCCCTCTCCTGCCCTGTACATATGTATTGCTTTAAAGATGCTTCTAAAACCCATCAGCTCACCAGTGCAGGAGCATGTGGAGACAACTCCTGATACCTCCAGCCTCACACTTCCAAGGAAGCTGATCAATTCACAACTCACTTCCCTGCCATCAAAGCAGAGCTCCTTACCTCTCCTTGCTATTAACAGCTCATTAGCCTTCCCAGACACCTGGATAGGGACACCAACACCTCATCTGCAAGGCAGGGATACAGGGCTGGGAGCATCCCAGAAAGAGCCCTGAGTATCCTGAACCCTGAGGAGCCTTTCCTTATGCAGGCTGCCCCAGCGCAGCTCTCTCAGCCTGTCCCTCACTCCTGCCCTGAAGAGTGCTGCACCAGAGTGCAGAGGGCTTAGGTCATGCTGGCAAGCACCTCAAGGAAACCTCATCTGCAGCTTTCCCTTTCTATTTCCATGCTTCCAGAGAAGATGCAGCAGCCCCGGTGCTTCCTTGTGCCTGTCTGGGCCCTTCCCTGTGCAGCTGAAACACGGCTCAGATCCTGCCCTGTGATGCTGTCCGACATCAGCTGCCTGTTGTGGCTCCTGCCAGGACACCTCTGAATGCTGGGGGCACAAGAGCAGCTACAGGAGACCTCAGACTACTCTGCAAGCACACAAAGAGCCTTCCAGCACGACTGGTTTGCACTTAGCCCATTCCCAGGCAAGGGAAACAAGGAAACAAGGCTTAGGAGTGCAGGCCCCACAGACAATTCCCATCAGAGGATGAGCATAATGAAGTGGAGGATGCTGGGCCCTGTAGGCCGTGAGTTTGGGATCAGGCAGACTGCAGGACCAGGCTGTGCCTGTGGCCTGACCTGCTCCTACTCCAGACAGTTGAAGTTGAGAGGTTTAGGGAAGAGCAGCTCCCTGTGCAAGTGCATCCAAACCAGGCTCTTACCAAGCTCTATCTGGCTCCCAGACTGGAAGCCTCCGTGGTATTCCAGGACACAGCAGGGGTTACTGCACTGGGCTGAAAGTCAGGTGTCGAGTTTAACCATGGAGCTCTCATCCCAGGAGATCCAGGCTGGAATGCAGCTCCAGCCATAGGGATGATGTCTGCCTGCAGACCTGTTTCAAGCAGGTACCCCTCACAGCAAGGGCAGAGGACAGCACGTACCCAAGGACACTGGTGGCCTGAAAAGCCAGGGAGCAGGAGCAGGCAGGTAACCAACATAGCAGGGAAACCCCTCCTGTGCTCTCACCTCACAGACACGCTGGTGTCCAACTGATGTGCTCAGATTTCCTTTATCCCTGTGGAATGCCAGCTGGCATTAGCTTGCTCCTTGTCACCATTCCATAGCTACTGCCAGGACAGGAAAGAGGGTGACATGCAGAAGTTCGGGTTTGAGTGACTACAGCATGGATGAGTAAGGAGAAGGCTCCTTAAGGGGAGACCTTAGAGCAGCTCCAGTGCCTAAAGGGGCTGCAGGGAACCTGGAGAGGGGCTTGGGACAAGGGCCTGTAGGGCCAGGCCAAGGGGAATGGCTTGAACCTGCCCGAGGGGAGACTGAGCTGAGCTCTTAGGCAGAAGCTCTTCCCTGTGAGGGTGCTGAGGCGCTGGCACAGGGTGCCCAGAGAAGCTGTGGCTGCCCCATCCCTGGCAGTGCTCAAGGACACAGGGGCTTGGAGCAAGCTGCTCCAGTGGAAGGGGTTGGGGTTGGAGCTGGATGGGCTTTAAGCCCCTTCCAAGACAAACCATTCCATGGTTCTTTATTCCTTGGAGTCTCCCCCACACTGAGACCGCTGCAGCCACACAACTGAGCTCTAGCCCTGTGCAAGCTCAGCCTGGCAGCTCCCTTCCAGATTTCCATCTGGTGTGAACACAGTTCCTGCCCTGCCAGCCTGCATGCCAGCCACATCGGGCACTGCCTGTCCTTCTGGAAGTGGCACCGAGCCAGCCCAGGCTCTGGACTGCGCAGAGCAGCTCATTTAGCAGCAATGTGACCACATGGCCAGGCCTGATCCAGATCCTGCTGGTGCCTCGGGTGGATGCAGCTCAGGAAGAAGGCAATCCCACCAGGACTGACAGAGCCAGGCTTTGAGGACAGATCCCAGCCTACATGAATGTGAAGCAGATGATCTGGTCATTCACTAACAAACTCCATGAGCAAAGAAACACAAGTTTCAGATGATGCCACTGTCATGGACTCGCATGACATGAGACAAAACTTCCCTTTATCCCAGCTAGACCCACCCATGGATCTGTTTGGGGAATCAGGGAACCATTCCAGGTCTTCCCCGATCCCATTCACAGCACAGCCTCAAAGCAAACAGAAGACAACCACACTGCAACGGTGTGAACACCAGGGGAAGAGGCAGAAACACCCCAACTCCCTTTGCAATAGGGAAAACAGATGCAGAACACGGACGGGCGCATCCAGCCGAGCAAATGCCACAGTCCAATACTCCTGTCATCAGGCAGGCATCAGCCCCAGCACTGGTTCCTGTGGGCAGGGCAGAGCCCAGCCTCCTCATCCGCACAGCACAGAGGAGACCAGGATCCCAGTGGGGGCTGAGGACCCCCAAGAGCTGCCACAATACAAAGAGCTCTGTGTTAGACACCGCCTCTCGTGCTGCAGCGCTTTCATGTCATTGTTGTCTTGGGAGGGTGGGGAACAACAACATCCCAGTGGGTGCAGAGCGGGCAGGAGGAAGGAAAAGAGCTTCCAAGAGAGTGTTTGGGGAGAGGCAGCATCTGCGGGGGCTTTGGGCCGATCTCTGCAGCAGCTTTCCCCTCCTGGAGCCTGCGGCTTCCTCATGGCCCCGTTCACAGAGCACAGGCCCCAGATCAGGTCTCCACATGAGGACGGATGTGCTCAGTGTCCAAGCTTAGGGACAAGTGGAGATCCAGCTGCACAAATCCTTCCTGCAGCACAGAGCGATGCCTCAACTGTTGGCTCAGGCAAGGAATTGAGTGCAACTTCCAAACAGGAGATCAGCAAACACCCCCAAAGCCGCCATTCCTGAGGGTGTCCTGGGTGAAGCTCAGCCCCAGTGAAGCAAGAGGTAAATGTCAGGCACATCACAGAATCATGGAATGGTTTGGGTTGGAAGGGACCTTAAAGCTCATCCAGCTCCAACCCCTGATATGGGCAGGGACCCCTTCCACTGGAGCAGCTTGCTCCAAGCCCCTGTGTCCTTGAGCACTGCCAGGGATGGGGCAGCCACAGCTTCTCTGGGCACCCTGTGCCAGCGCCTCAGCACCCTCACAGGGAAGAGCTTCTTCCTTATCTGCAGCCTGAACTTCCCCTGTTTCAGTCTGAACCCATCACCCCTTGTCCTATCACTGCAGTCCCTGATGAAGA